TTCATCCTGGGCAGTACTTCCTGTGGCAGCCACTAACACATCTTTCCGTTTCTTCAGCTTGGTCTTTTTCTTCGGGGAGCTAGACTCTTCTTCTTCATCTTCCTCCTCCTCTTCCGAAACAGCCTGGGCCTTTCTCTTCTTGGGCTCCTCGTTTGAGAAGAAACCAGAGGGGTTTTTGGCAGGGGAGACTAAACGGTAATCGGTCAGTTCCTCAAAGCACACCAAGTCATCCATCTGTCCATCCGCAAACAGATTTGGGTCGATCTTCACTTGCTTCCACTTCCCCACCACTTTGATGCCCTTCGTCTGAAATGCACCATGGCTCGGTGGCTTTGGCCTTGATTTGGTCTCCTTTATCTTCATGGTTGCTGAAACGAAAAACGTTCTTTTAGGTTAGCGACTGTGAAGCCTGGGTTCTATGGCAACAGACATGTTCCGACGAACCTAAAACATACTCGACCCTGCAAACAACCGAGAACCCAAAGATGCTTTAACATACAGAGAGCAGATGCTCCCAGCCAGAAAATGAGGCACACCCACAGAATAGGGAGTTGGGCTCGGAGCGGACGGAACACAGGCGATATAGTAACAGGAGTTAACTCGAGTCAGGATCCCAGCCCCCACACTTAACTGTATGCAACCTTCAACAATACTACCGATCTTCTCAGAATTTAGTGTTTTAATCCTATTAAAAAGAGAGGGCCAAGCTAATATCTACTCTTACGCTAGACACAAATAGTTGGAATGACAACAGAGGCGACAGAATAATGCCTGACCTACAGAGGCCATGTTTAAGATGGAGTAAGGATTGGAAATGGATTTTCATTTCTGGCTTTAGGGGATAGAGTGCGCCGAGCTCTCTTCCCTATTAGAACAAGGCAATGCCATCTCCACCCGATGCAGCTTTTCTAATTACATTTTAAGTGATGGAGCGCTAGCAGGGGTTGTAGCTCAGAGTGTTAGCCTAGTATGAATGAAGCCCTAGCTTTCACCCCCAGCACTGCGTAAAACCATGCTTAGTGGGTATCAAGCCTTCCAGGAGTTCAAAGCCAGCCACGGCCACACGAGACCAAGTCTTTAAAAAGGGTCATGGGTTATGTGAGACTCATCTGAGTCGAAGTGGCTCCACAGTGATCCTCTCTAAATAAGAAAGAACAGAATTTGTGGGAGCAAAAAGGTAAAACTCGATTCATATCTGGATTCAACACTTGCCACCTCGGAGTCTTTGATAAACCCTCTCTGTGGCTCAGTTTCCTCATCTACTATTTAAGAATAATGAGGTATTGAACCCACTGGGTCGTCATTTGAATACGACATGGTGACGCACGTCAAAACCCGCTTAGCATGGCGCCTGTTGTTGAGTGCAGCACACTGACTCGCAGGCAAGGCTCATGCAGCGGTCGCAGACACCGACTACACAACAACCCCACCGCACCTCGGCCCCACCTCGACGAACCGAAGGGAATGTCACTAAAAATAGGACCTGGGAAGTGCCCTGCACCGCCTTCAAGAGGTCCTCAGGCACTGCGGTCGCACGAGACCTTCAAGGGAGGTTCCTGGGCCTGGATGCGTGGTTACCGGCCTCAGGCGTGGGCCGCCCGGGAACCACTGCTGAGGGTGCACCCGTGACCCACTATGCTTTGGGGACACCGGGAGCCGGCCGCGGAGGGGCCACGCGCACCGCACTCACCAGGATAATCACCGCCAGACTTCTCTCCAGCACCGGGACGTCTGCGCCAACCTGACCCGGAACTGCAGCAGCAGCGTCTGAAACTGCAGTTCCGGGGCGGGACTTCACGCACGCGTGCACGCTGCAGAAGGAAGTACCGCCTCCATGCGGAAACAGCCGTCTGATTGGCACTGTTCAGGACGTGGGCGGGAAGGAAGAGGCTTGGCTGTGGTACCCCGCTTGGCCCTCGCTCTCAGCCTGTTTCGTCATTTAGGCTGCGTCTCGGAGCTCTTTCACTGACGCCAGGGAGCGCAAGAGATCGCATAACCTAGTTTGGGTGCAGTACTTACTGTTAGTCTTGAAGGTTTTCTTACCTGACCTACAACACTAAGCCTGTACTGAAAATGCTGGGTTCTGCAGTTCCGTAGTGACTTCCTACTGCACAGGGCTGGTGAAGATAGAGAGACCAGTCTCGAACGCAAGTTTTAGACCTTGGAACAATAGACTGTAACATTAATGAAATATAATTAACAAACTTCCTTAGGAAATACTAGGATACATAGGAAGAAGAAAATAGAATAGGATTCAGACATGGGGGCGCATGCCTTTAATCAATCCCAACACTCGGGAGGCAGAGGCAGGGGGATCTTGGAACTCAAAGCCAGCCTGGTCCACAGAGCAGAGTTCCTGGATAGCCAGGGCTACACAGAGAAACCTTGTCTCAAAACAAAACAAAACAACAACAACCAAAACCAACAAACGAATGAGAAAGGAAGGAAAGGAAAGAAATGTAAGGAATGATACTGGCTCAGAACACCCCAAGACCAAGTTGTCATCACAAAGATTTATTTGCCCCAGAGTGACTATGGACAGGAAATAAGAGACAAAAATAAAAGGCAGAAGACTAGGAAGAAGGGGAAGGAAAAAATGGGAAATGGGGAGACTGTCTCTGAATAGAGAGGAAACAGACTTGGTCCAGAAGCAAATTGCAGTTTATACCGCTAAAAGGGGGAATCCCATGTTAGGATGAAGTTACATATTTAACTTTAATTGGGCATGTTAATTAGGTGAGTCAAAGGGGGCTTTTGATTGGTGGACTTCAACACTGATATCTGGACCTTGTTGGTCAGCCTCAGGAGGAGGAAGTGGCCTAATAAGGGATCTTGATAGTTAGCTTTAGAAATGTAATCTGTTTTTTGTTTGTTTTAAATCAAGACAGAGGTGTTGTGATTGCAGCAGGTCCCCTGGCAAGTGGGTCCAAACCAATACATGTGAAAGAATACTCTGTGCAGACAGAGTTTGTGTGTGGAGTTTATTGAGATAAAGGGAAGAAGGAGGGGAAAGAAAGAGAGAGAGAAGAGGAGGTAGGGAGAGGGAGAGAGGCAGAGACCTACTTGCCTCTTCTGAAGAGTGAAAGAGATCAGGAGTGAGCTGAGCTAGTCTCTTAAAGGAACCTCTGCACATGCATACAGTCCAGCAGCTGCTTGCCCTGTGCAGAGGGTTGGTACACTGTGTCAGGTTCCAAAGGGGCACAGCCAAGGTGCACCTGGATACTTACCAGAGGGAATGAGGGAGAAGGGCAAGGCCTGCTAGGGCCATGTTTGCCATGCCCTGGCTGGCTAGAGTTCCTTCAAGAAAAATAAAACAGAAGAGGAAGCCATCTCCATCTGAGACAGCAAAAGTAACACTGAACTGCTGACTACTCTGTAAACATGCCTGCCCATCCTGTTCTCTTCCTTCCAAGTGACCGTCACCAATATCAACTACAACAGCCAGCACATTCTGTTTGCTGAAGACAGAACTGGCTTGATCAGAAACGTGCAAATCTCAGCTGCTGTAAAACTTGCTTAAGTCTGGAAAAATCTTGCTTGGGGCAGGGAATGAAAGAACACCCTAAGACTGTGGCAATGCCTAACCCTCAATAAGCCAGGAGATTTCTCTGTTCTAGTCTTCATCCTTTTAAGCGCTGCACACCACTTAAGAAGTTTTTCCTTTATCTCTGAGTACTGAGAGTTTCTCACTGGGGAAGGCTGAAGTCCTCAACCTCAACAATAATGCAGAGAAACCAGGTCCCACAGTGTACAGTGTGATGCTTTCCAAAAGTATAGAAACCAGAAAAGACAGCATCCTAAAAGCCTGCCCTCCAGTTCATCTTTAACCAAAGGTTATATAGGTGTTAGGTCTCACACCCAGGACAAATGGCTCTGCTGTTCATTTAGCATTTCAAAGCAGACCTGGCAGCCAGGATCTCCCAGCATCTCTGAGTCCCTCCTCACCCATTACAGGCTATGACTGGCATACCCAACCCTCTACCATGAACTCTCAGGTGTGTGTGTGGGGGGGGGAGCGGGCTATGCTGCCCTTCCCCCATGGGGAAGCACTTCTCTGTACAATACAGACATTTGCATTACCCACTCCTTTTGTACCTTTGACCTCCTGACTGGTGCACCTGGTTCCTCTCTCTCTGGATTCTCCCTCCCCCATGGTTTCTCCCCATAAGACTGGCTCAGTCTGGTCACGTCCACCCTGGACTCCTCCAGATATCCATAGCTCTGACTATGGTCTCAGCCATATCTGTAACGAGCGTTCTCCTCCACCACACCTAGGAGCAGCCATGTCCTTTCGTTTCCTTTTTATGTCTTTCTCTGTTCACCCACCACTCTAATATGTTGTAGTAGAAAAACACACCTGAAGCCAGGCATCCTGGTCCATATCAAACTCTTTTAGATCCTCACATCTTAAGGTTTGCATCATAAAACAACTTTTATTTACTTTACCAGTAGGTACACGGTGTCTGACCATTGAGAGCAGTCACTGTAAAGTTCCTTTAAACAAAGGAATGGTAAGAAGTTATACTGGAATCTGTTTTGGGAGTCTCTCTCTGTCTCTCTCTGTCTCTCTCTGTCTCTCTCTCTGTCTGTCTCTCTCTGTCTCTCTTTCTGTCTCTCTGTCTCTCTCTGTCTCTCTGTCTCTCTGTCTCTCTCTCTCTCTCTCTTCTCCCCTCCCCCCTCTCTCTGCAAGGTGAACTGTGTCTAGACTTTGTATTGGCTCTAAGAGAGTGAGAGCTGTGACCTGAATCTTACAGAGAGCTGAGAAGGCAGCTGAAGCTTTTAAGCTGGCAAAGCTATTAATCATCAAACAACATCAGAGTCCTGAGAGGAATAAATTTTACCTGAGTTATTGACTTAAAAAAAATGACAAAGACTTACTTGCTGGCTACCTAGACAGCTGCCCCGGGGTCCTCCATGGTCGTTGAGGACGGGTGATAGGACAGCATCCATCTTCCTGCTTGCAAGGTCCCAGAAGATCCCATAGGACCAGCCCACCCTTTGCCTTAGACACCTCGAGGCTGTCAATTTCCCAGTATCCTGTTTTCTCCACCCTCTGAAGAGAGTCTTTGCAGTAGTTGAGGTGAAAGGCAGGTTCTCTCAGTGGCTAGTGCTGCCACTTTTGAGCCAGTTTTGAGTAGATTTTTCTTCTGTGCCCATCTGTCCTCTTTGGAGGAAACAGAGGAGCTGTCTGGAGCTGGGATGTCTCTCTATTATAAAAAAAAAAAAAAAAACTTTTTGGTAAAACATTTAAATGCCATTTTCTGCAGATCTCTGAGTATTTGAGGACTGCCTGTTTATTAGCTATATCTGTGCAGACAACCCTTGCCACCAGCTATTTGTCCTAAGCACAATAGGTAAGGCTCATCTCTGCAATTAATCATACCAGTACTTAGCATGACAATGACCAATGGCTTGTCATTTATAAGTTGACTCTTAGCTTGTATTTCTTAACAATCTATATGTTACATGTTGTATTTCTTAACAGTCTACATGTTAGCAGCTTTTATAAGACTAGGACTTTATATTACATTTCTGTCAGATTTAGTCAAGAATAATGATTTTCAATTGAAGCTCTTTTAGTATCAAAATAAAAACCTTTTAATTGTAGATGATGAATTCAATAAGGAAATTAAGATAACAATTTTTGGGGGGGGGTAATAGCAGAGTAAGTTTGTACCACATTGAGACTGTCTCCTGAGAAGGCAAAGAAAAGCGACTATATCAGACTTAATAATCAAAACATTTAGAGGTAAATTTTAAGCTTGGTCAGTCAGGGCTGCAGCCAGTACACACTGAACATGGTTAACTCATACATTTAGAAATAAGCAGTGGCCATGTTTATGCATTTAAACCAGACAAAACTTTTCTTACCTTTTCTAGCTGAAGTTTTAGGTGGGGGAGGGGCTGCAGGCCATTTGTGCTTTCCTGGTGGGTCTGCACCTGCAGCTGCTCTGCCTGGTGTTTCCCGCTGTGCCACTTTGGAGCAGGTGTCATTTTGTGAGACCAAAACCAGTTATGGTCCAGGAGAAGCATCTGACAGTGGCTATCCTCGGCACCTGGCCTTGAAGTCTCTGTCCTTCTGGCTCCTCCTTGGCATTTGGGCCTGGGACTGCAGTACCTGTGGAGGAGGGGCTATCCTCTCCCTGACTACCAGCAGTGCTAGCTCAGACAGGAGCCTGCTGAAGCCTGGGCTCCTGAGGCAGAGAGGGGCAGGGGAGGCTGGCCAAATCTTCTGTTAGATTTCTGAAATCCTGGGAGTGAGAGAATAGGATCCGAAAGGGCCTGAGGCTCAGAGGAACCTCCGGGTGTAAGGACCGATAATCCTTCAAGTCTCATTGTAGGGCTTTGTCAAAGACAGTTGAGGAATTTTTGAATCCTTGTGGCAGGCGGGTCCAGGTGAGCTGACCACTGAAGCCCTGGTCTTGGTCATGCCATTTGAAAGCGAAAAGCAGCTGACTCTTAGCTTCAAGAGTTAGGCTGAAGAAGGCATCCCTGAGATCTCCAGAGAGAGGGAGCTCAGGAGATTACAGGAGTTGGGAACTGTAACACGAATGTCTTTATCCTGTTTGTTAATCTCCCTAAGATCTTGCATGGGTTGATAGTCACTGGTCCCTGGCTTCTTAACTGGCAGAAGTGGGGTGTTCTATGGAGACTGGCAAGGCACCAGGATTTCATGCTCCAGGAACCAATTGATATGGTTAGTAATGCCCAACTTGGCCTCTGGGGTCATAGGGTACTGCCTCACTCTGGCCTAACTGGGTATTGGATTTTAAGGTGACTACAGCTGGGGGCTCCTGAATCGCTGGTCCTGGTGGATTAGTTTCTGCACACACTCCTGGGATGGAGCGCTGGAGGTCAGCCATTAGAGTGAGAGTATGTCAGGAGAGCCTGTATTCTTTCAGATCTAGGCATAAGGCATAGACTTCCGGCCATGGGGAGATCGTCACCCCCTTCCCAGTGAGATGAATTTGGGCTTTTGTCTTAGGCAATAAGCCTCTTTCCAGGAGCGGGTAACGGCATTCAGGGATGTGTAACTTTCTTTCTTCCCAATTTTACAATCTGTTTTGTGGTCCATGGTAGCAGGGCTGTCCTTGTATCCCCTTGAACCACATTTGTTTGTCTGATAGAGACCCCAGTGGAGTTTTTAACGCTGAATTGTGAGTACCAGTGTCCACTAGGAAATCAGCAGGTTGCCCCTCAACTTTTAGGGTTACCCAAGGCTCAAGGAGAGGCTTTAAACCCCATTTCCTTCAATCATCTAGACCTGCCAATTTTAGGACTTTTTGTCCCTTCTTCCTTTGTGGCCATTGCCCGTTGGCTAGTTGGGACAGTCTGTGTTCCCTCTGCCCATCAGGTCCCCCGCTCTTATCTGCCAGTAAGATTTTTGCCAGTCCCCGAGCTTGCTTACCCGCAGGTGTTTCTCTGCGCTTGTAAACCTTAGTGGCTATAGCAATCAACTCAGGCAGATTTTTACCGTCAAGTTCTTTGAGTTGCTGAAGTTTCCTCTTAATATCTGGGGCTGCAGGAGCCTTAGCCAGACTGGAGGGCAGCCTAGCAGGTGTTCAGAGACCACCTCGTTAATGAATACCTCATCATTAGTGGGTCGACCATCTCTGGAACCTGCTGCAGCATTCTCGCTGAATTCTATCTCTTTCTTCAGTGGTGACCATTATCTGGACAATTGCTGGCAATCTCCCCCAGGTTAGGGAATGTGTAAGCAGGACGGTAACTGGGAGATCTATTATTGCTTGGGGTTTCTCAGTAAAGGAAGGAGTCTGAAGTTTCCAGTAATACAGATCACTAGTTGAAAGAGGAAATAAAGCAGGTGTATGTGTGTGTGTGGGGGGGTGCCATCCTCATTAGGAGGTCCCAAAGTGTGGAGGGGAAGAGCAAGAGATGCCAGCACCTGTGGCTTCCCTGAATGAGTGCAAGTGCCTGGGCTCAGGGACAGAGGATTGGGAAGGAGAGGATGGGAAGGAAGAGGGAAGAGGAGCTCCATGTGGGGACCAATAAGGTCTTGAGAAGCTCTGGCTAAACACGGGCTACAGAGGCAGCAATCCTGGAAAAGAGAAAGGGCAAGGTTCAGGGGAGCCTTAGGTTTGGAAGAAGCTTTTCCCATAGTGGAAATGACTTTACACACAACCACAGCGAGAAGACTGACAACAGACAACATGACAGCATGGCATGAAACAGAACTGACAAGGCATGGCGGTTGCTGGGTCATGAGATCCCATACCAGTTCCAAAAGGCCGCAATCTCACGACCGAATAGCCAAAGGAGGAATAAGAGCGTTCCCTATTTTCCTCCCGCTCTGAGTTTAGAAGTGCATCCACTAGATCTCCTTGAGACTCCAGACTGTCCGGACACCAGGAACCAGAACCAGAAACCTATCAATTGGTAAAAACAGAATAATGAAGTTTGCCAAAAAACAACAACAACAACAACAACAACAACAACAACAAGAGACTGGGGTATCCCCTCAAAACCAGGTTTGCACTCCCCATACAGGCCACGAAAATGTTGGGTCCAGGGGGGGTTGCACAAAGATGGGGACAGACCACCAAAGTCTAATAAATCAGAAGCAAACTTTATTCCAGATTCCAGGAAAACTAGATGCAAACTTAAAAACAAAAGTAAAGGGGGCTGGAGAGATGGCTCAGTGGTTAAGAGCATTGCCTGCTCTTACAAAGGTCCTGAGTTCAATTCCCAGCAACCACATGGTGGCTCACAACCATCTGGAATGAGGTCTGGTGCCCTCTTCTGGCCTGCAGACATACACACAGACAGAATATTGTATACATAATAAATAAATAAATGAATAAATAAATATTTTTTTAAAAAAAGTAAAATAAACACCGTGGGGCACAGAAGCTTATCAGCTAGCTGAGACCACAGCCAGAGATGGTGTTTGTTAGGCTGTGGCAAAAAGCCACTTTCTGAACCCATCTTTTTATAGTAGGGGCACCAAGCATTAGGTCTTAACAAAGGAATGTTTATGATCTTGCCCTGACCAGTGGGTTAGTCAACAGAGACCCTAAGCGGGGAGTGGGTTCTAACTTCAATGGGTAACTAGGCAGCTACCATGAAATATGTTTCAGAGGAGATTACAGGGAAAGTCACTAATTGCAAGTAAACAGATATCTTTAGCAATTAGTTAAGAAAAGGGACTGCTAGCAATATCAGAGGGTTAATAAATCAGGATAATTGGTTCTTAGGCTGGGAACTTAGAAGATAGCAGGAAGCTTTTCACAGTATCTCAAGGTAAATTTGGATACATATGGCCTTACCTTACAACCTCCATTAGCAGAGTTCATTAGTCAAACCAGTGTCTGTACTTAATCCACTGTCGCTCCTGGTATTTTCAGGCAGTGTTTACTGAAGCCCCATGCCTTCCCTCTGATGCTGCCAGTTTCCCAGAACAGAGACAGCGCCTAACCCAAAGGTCGCTAGGTTAGCTCAGCTCATATCTGCTGTTGATCATGATTAGCCAGGAAACTATTCTGAGTTTGCAGAGAGAGGCCTTGAAAATAGAAGAGCCAGTTGTAAAATGGAATGACCAAAGCTGATGGAGGCTTCCCAAGCATCTGAGAAAATAGCTCACTGTGAACGATTGATCCTTGGTCTACCGAGGAAGCTGCTGACAGTCTGTTATCATTCTCCTAGACTTGTAACTTTATATTTCTTTATTTCTACATTCTTATTTCTGGAGTCTACATTTTTATTTTCTTATTCTTGAACTCGTCAAGATCTATAGTGAGCTGAACTGGTTTCTTAAAGGAACCTCTGCACATGCATACAGTCCGGCAGCTGCTTGCCCTGTGCAGAGGGTTGGCACACTGTGTCAGGTTCCAAAGGGGCATGGCCAAGGTGCGCCCAGATACTAACGAGAGGGAAGGAGAAGGGCAAGGCCTGCTGAGGCCATGTTTGCCATGCCCTGTCTGGCTAGAGTTCCTTCAAGAAAAATAAAACAGAAGAGGAAGCCATCTCCATCTGAGACAGCAAAAGTAACACTGAGCTGCTGACTACTCTGTAAACATGCCTGCCCATCCTGTTCTCTCCCTTCCAAGTGACCGTCACCAATATCAACTACAACAGCCAGCACATTCTGTTTGCTGAAGACAGAACTGGCTTGATCAGAAACGTGCAAATCTCAGCTGCTGTAAAACTTACTTAAGTCAGGAAAAATCTCGCTTGGGGCAGGGAATGAAAGAACACCCTAAGACTGTGGCAATGCCTAACCCTCAATAAGCCAGGAGATTTCTCTGTTCTAGTCTTCATCCTTTTAAGTGCTGCACACCACTAACGAAGTTTTTCCTTTATCTCTGAGTACTGAGAGTTTCTCACTGGGGAAGGCTGAAGTCCTCAACCTCAACAATAATGCAGAGAAACCAGGTCCCACAGTGTACAGTGTGATGCTTTCCAAAGTATAGAAACCAGAAAAGACAGCATCCTAAAAGCCTGCCCTCCAGTTCATCTTTAACCAAAGGTTATATAGGTGTTAGGTCTCACACCCAGGACAAATGGCTCTGCTGTTCATTTAGCATTTCAAAGCAGACCTGGCAGCCAGGATCTCCCAGCATCTCTGAGTCCCTCCTCACCCATTACAGGCTATGACTGGCATACCCAACCCTCTACCATGAACTCTCAGGTGTGTGTGTGGGGGGGGGAGCGGGCTATGCTGCCCTTCCCCCATGGGGAAGCACTTCTCTGTACAATACAGACATTTGCATTACCCACTCCTTTTGTACCTTTGACCTCCTGACTGGTGCACCTGGTTCCTCTCTCTCTGGATTCTCCCTCCCCCATGGTTTCTCCCCATAAGCCTGGCTCAGTCTGGTCACGTCCACCCTGGACTCCTCCAGATATCCATAGCTCTGACTATGGTCTCAGCCATATCTGTAACGAGCGTTCTCCTCCACCACACCTAGGAGCAGCCATGTCCTTTCCTTTCCTTTCCTTTCCTTTCCTTTCCTTTCCTTTCCTTTCCTTTCCTTTCCTTTCCTTTCCTTTCCTTTCCTTTTTATGTCTTTCTCTGTTCACCCACCACTCTAATATGTTGTAGTAGAAAAAGACATCAGAAGCCAGGCATGTTGGTCCATATCTTTAACCCAGCATTAGAAAAGAAAAGGCAGGTAGATTTCTGAGTTCGAAGCCAGACTATTATGGAGATAGATTTCCAGGACGGCCAGTGCTACACAGAGAAACCAGTCTCAGAAAGAAAAAAAAAAAAAAACCGGAACACATTTGTGTCCCATATTATAAAATCCGTGTTTTACTATTACCCTGACATATGCACGCTGTTGCTGGCTTTTCGTCTTATGCTAACTGCTCCCAGCACCCGTGCCCCTTGAGAAGAACAAACGTGACTCCTCCAGACACCAGTGAACTTACCATTTCAAAAAGTCTGACCAAAACATCCATGAAGGGGCTAGAACACAAGGGATACCGAGGAGGAAAGAAGAAACACTGGACATCACAAGCCTCAGGCTGTGGCTGACCCTCTGATAAGAGGGGTAAAATTGATTTCCAATATAACTTCTTGTGTCATCATCCTGACCCCCACATACTCCTTCCCACCTCCCCATCCCTGTAAAGCTATGGGGTTGCTGTGGGCTGGAGAATGTAAAGGGTAAGGTGGGCAGGGCAGGGGTGGTTGAGTGTGTGTGTGTGTGTGTATGTGTGTGTGTCTGTGTGTGTGTGTGTGTGTGTGTGTGTGTGTGTTTTAAACATCAGTCAGAATTGAAACAAATCTAAGTAAAGCCATCTACTCAGAAGTAGGCAGATGGGTGGAGCAGGTGCCTACTTCTCCTATTCCTTTGAAACCCCAACAGGGAGCTGACTCATTGTAAGGGGCAGGCCTTGTCTCTATTGGTTCAGAACCAAGGGTCTGTCCTTCTCTCCTCAGATTTAAGTCACTTCCTAAGCTTACCAGTTACCCAGACATCTCACCATGTTGGGTTAGTAGACCTCAGCGCTGGCATGGGCTGGGAACTGGGCTCCCTGACCCAAACCTAAAAAGAACTCAAGTAACTCTCTCTAATCTTCTCTACCCACCCCATCTCTCCCTAGAAACATTCATAGCTGCTGCAGTAGGAGCAGGTATGTTTCTTGTGCCTGTTGAGAGGCTGTGGGGGCTTTGTGGTTTGCAGTGGGCTCTACACCAGTTCCTGCCTTCTGCTGGATTCTGGAGCTGCCTGCGGAAAGCCAGGGCCAGAGCTGTGCTCACTCACTCTGGGGATGAGATTCACGTTTACTGACTAGTTTCTCCTCCAGGCTTTTATATAATGAAGAGCAAGGAGAGAAGTATGTTGAGCAAGGGGAGGGGCGGTTAGTTAAAATGCAGTAGTTGATCAACCCTTCATAGAAAGTGAGGCTCAGTGCTGAGATCTCCAAGATCAGACAAGTTGGTAAGACCTTGGCCTCCACCTGGATCCCTGCCCTATCCTTCTTTACCGTTGGACCCTTTACCTGCTGTTCATAAAAGATAGACCCCCCCAAACTTTCCAGGAATTCTTGAGTGTGTCTTTTCCCTGGGTCCACACCAACTCCTCTCCCTACAGCTGTGGGTGTGGGAGCTGCACCTGTAGTCCTGACTGCCATGGGCTTCACGGGGACAGGAATAGCAGCAGCATGCATAGCAGCCAAGATGATGTCAGCAGCTGCAGTCGCCATGGGAGTGGAGTTGCAGCCGGAAGCATGGTGGCAGCAATGCAGTTAGCAGGTAAGTGTCCTTCCAGGCAAGATGACTGGACAGACAGCCAAGGAGGGCATCTCCCTGCCTCTCCCTCTTTTCCCACCTTTAATATCACCTGTGTCTTATACTTCTGTCCCTGCTATCTGCTTCACTATGAGTGAGGCTGGGGCGGGGTGCAGAGTAAGGGATGCTGGCTGGCAGAGCAAGCAGTAAAGAGCCCTGATCCAGGATTCATGCTCCCTGGGCTCTGAATCTTCCCTAACTGGGTGTCCTTCTCCAGTGTGTCCCCCTCTGTACTGTAATGTAGAGAGGACAGTCTTCTCAGGAGAGGTCTTTCTCCTGTAACTCAGGTTACCCAAATCTGTCTAATCCTTCTGGCCTAGTTTGAGTATCTCTGTCTAAAGCAGAGCCCAAGGTTCATACAAAAAGACAGTGGGACATTTCTAAGCCTCAGGCCACTGACGGTCACTGCACTGTCTCCTTCCCAGGTGTCCTTGGACTCTCCACATCAACCAACGTGATCGTGGGTACTGTTGGGGCTGCTGCCGCCGCCATCTTGATTTGAACTTAGGAGATAACACCTCTACCAGTAGACCCCAAAGACTATACGGAGTATCTAGGAGACAGTGTACCCCAAGAGGATCTTCAAAATCTCTCACTGACATCATAGAAAACAATGAAAAATAAAGGCCTTTTGCTGGTGTCCCTATCTTTGCTTGTGGTGGCTCTTTGAAGGGGTTTTATGACTGAAAGTTTCAATTCTTCAGGTTTCCACAGCCATATTCAGGCTGGATATCAAATGGATGTGGCCAGCACACAGCCAAAAGAGAGAAATCCTCATGTGGCTCCTGCCTTAGTTATGATGGTTTGTGTATCATGGGGGCCGCTTTGGGTCTTTATGGACCTCACTGTGTTGCTTATTAAAAGTTGGGCTCATAGAGGCTCCCGTTCTGGGGCAAAGGTGAGAGGTATCCAAGAACATTGACCTGAAAGCTGTTGGTCCTTTGCCATCAATGGTTCTGAATATGCAGGACGATGAGCAGAACAGACCTAACGCACTGTACTGCTGAAAGACTGACAGAGAACTAACAGGGATTCACTGGGCTGAGCTAATGCATGGGGACCTCAGGAAGGAGATAGAATCAGAAATGCTCATCTCCATAAAATGTCCATAAAGTTAAAAAAAAGGTCGAAATTCCTGCCTCATAACCAGGGACACTGACCACACCCTGACCCAAGGTGGGTAGTCATCACCCATGTGATGCATAATGCAGTGCTGGAAAAGGTCCACACTGATGTCCCGAGGCAGAAAGATTCGGCCCTTTGTCAATCCATTGGGACACAGTATACCGTTCACAGTAATGATAGTCACAATCTTCGAATACTGAGAGTCAAGGTCTTGATCTTCAGGAAAAGATCTGGAAGACTTCCTGGAGGAGGGACAAATAGATGCCCCAAGGAGAGGCATGCAGAAGTCTCTCAGGGGGAGCGCACAGAGAGACATAAGGTTGTGTGAGGGCATCAGTTAGGTCAGGTCTGATGGTTTCATGCATCAAACACTTCCAGGCAATCAAGGAGAAGCTCTGTGGGGTCTTTGTCTCTCAGCAGGAGGGCTGGGATGGTGGCTTAAGTTTTCCAGAAACAGGTGTGAGGCTGGTCCAGGAGAAGTGGATGATAATACATCATTCAGGCTTTCGATACCCACCTATCTGGAATGGCCCCTCTAGAGGACCTCCACAAGGCTGATGGGGTTAGGAATCGCTCCTGGTCCAAAGTCAGTTTCTCAGCTTCCTTATTAGCATAGCAGTGGTGTCCAACAGACAGAAACAGGACCAAGTCTGTTGGACAGATAGGCCGCTGTCCTTTTCCAGGGTCAAAATACCTGAGCTAAGAGGTCCCCCACCTTTGAAATCACTTGCATAGGGCAGGATGCCCTCGTTGACCCTTCCTTCTTGGTGTCCCTGATTTCCCATCTGGGATCTCTTTTATAGGCCTTTGAAAGCATTGCTAACACTGCTGAGGTCAATCTTTGGTTTTGTATTTTCTCCCACACAGTAAAAGGTTATTATTAACCTTTGCATTTTGGTTTATCATTTTCTCCAATAAAAAAAAGGTTATTGTTAACCTTTTCAGCAATCTCCAGTAATTATGGGCCCCTTCATATCTAACTTTGGAAATTCCTCTCTATTCACTTGGGCTGACTACCCAGCAAAACCAATACTAAAGCTGGCTTCATTTCTGGTCTTTCTGTGCCTATGGGAGTGGACATCAGGTGAGGGTCATAGAAGCAAACCCTATGGGTGATTCCTGGGATTCTTGTGCTTTGTCTCTCACCTAGACACGCTGGTAATTTATAGAAGCGTCCTTCGATCCTCATAAAAAGGACCTGGGGAAAACTGCTCAGAGCCTGCTTTTTTGGGGCAATGCTGGAGTCCCAGTCAGGTCAGGGAGAAGAGAAAACTCACTCTAGGAGGGCTTCACTGTCTGGCAGTGATCCTTGGCCAGGACCCAGGGTGGTTTTTCTGCTTCCATGCCTGAGTCTGTCCCAAGTAGAAAAGTCTAAGACTTCCCTAGAAAAATTCTATTCAGTGAAGCATTTTCCGCATACCAAACATGGGCTAGGTCTGTGTTGGAAACAGGAAGAGGAAGACAGTTCCCTCCAGTGAGGCTGTGCTACTGAGAGGGCAGGCAGAGGGTTCAGGTTTCTGTGGTGACTGAGGTTTGAGTGCAGGTCACCAGTATCAATCACTGGATACCTAGTGCAAGGGCAGTAGGAATACAAACCAGGCTCTGGTGACGAGACCAGTGGCTCATAGCAGGATGCCATGCTAAATTCCTCATAGGGCCCGAACCAACCCACACCTGCCTGGTCAATATAGGTCAATTCCCCCTGCAGGGAGGAGCCACTGAGGAGGTGACCTGCTCAGAGGTCTCAGGGCAAAGGATAACTTCCGTTTGTGCGCTGAGCTTATTCTACCTGAGCACTCATCTACCCCTGTGTCTCTGTGAGATATGGTGGGAGAAAGACGTGAGCCTAACCCACCCAAGCCCAGGGAACAGAAGCGACAGTCCCTGCTCAACATTCACCACACAAACAACACACAAGATGATAAGGAAAAGGCTGGCAACCACTTGGTTTTATTTCTTATTTCCAATTAGGCATCTGACACTGGCAGATCATCTCCTGGGGTTGACTGATCATTCTCTAGGTTGACCAAGCAGGGAGGTGTCACCTCTACTCCCCTGTCCTCTAAACAGAGAACTCGATCTCACACAGATGCTATTACACTACACAGAAGAGAAGATCCTGCAGATCCCAAGAGGACAGATCATTCCCTGAGGTTAACTGATCACTCTCTGTGTTGGAGAAGCTTGGGGTTGTCTCCTCTGCTTCCTTGTCTGCTTCTGTGAGGAGTGAAAGGATAGAACTCTCAGAGATACCATTATGCTGACACAATGGGAGGTCTTGTAGATGCCAGGAGGGCAGATTGTCCCCTAAGGTTAACTGACCATTCTCTAGGTTGGACAAGCTGTGACCTGTCCCCTTTCCTTTCATGTCCTCTTCTCAAAGGAGAGAAGGGCGGGAACTCTGAGAGATGCCCATCACACTGGCCACCACGGCAGATCCTGCAGAGCCTAAGAGGACTTTAGATGACAGGGAGAGTCCTGCAGCTCCTGGGGAAGAAACAAATGATGAAAATCGTGAGATGGGATCAAACTGGGTCCCAGAGGGTCATCATAGCATCATTCAGATGGCCTAAGTCACAAACTCTCTACAGCATTGCTACTTCTAAAGTCTCTGGGATCTGTATCCATCACAATTACTTTTACAAGAAACAAAAGGAAGTCCATAACGAACTCTAGGGATTCCCTGTCTGTTAGGAAAGAAGGCTGGCCCCAAGGTGGAGCTTTGTACCCCAGCTAATCCTTTCCTCCCTCCTCCAGCTCTCCTGCTAAAACCCTGAAAGAAGATAAAGCAGGAAGTGAGAAGCTGGACTGTGTCTTGCCCTCCCTCTAGTCCACCTGCCATGACACTTACCCACGGACTGCAGAGTGGCCACCAGGCTACCAGCCGCGACTCCACCCCCATTAGCAATAGCTGACAAGGACATCATCTTAGCTGCTAGAGAGGAGGCAGCAATTCCTGTCCCAGTGAAGCCCACAGCACCCAGCATGGGGGCACAGCACCTAAGGTCATGGCTGTGGGAGCCAGCTAGAATTGTCCCCGAGACCGCACCTCCAGCTTTGGTTATAGCTATTGAATCTGTTATCATGCAGACTAGGAAGCAACTAGCGTGCCTGTTCCAGACAATGCCATGGGGTCCAGTAGAAGTTCCAAACACAACACGAATCTGTTAACGGAATTGGAGTTTTGCTGAGGATACTGGGGACACAGTGGTGAATTCCCACCTGCCAAACTGGAAATCCCGGAGACTTCAGGGTGGATAGAGCACCTGGTCAGAGTTGGTGGTAACAATGCAAGGTCCTGCACCTGTTTAATAGAAGGGGGCTCAGGAACCATTTCAGCCACTGCAAGTGATTTGCTCAGGGTGAAAGGCTCCGTGGCAAAGACATGCATGTCCAGCTGCTGACAAATGCCAACTCTCGCCATGTTGCTCTAACACTTGGAGCTCAACTCACCTCCTCTCTAGCCTGCAGGGCAACTGAAGCCTCGGGTCCCTTCCTCCTAGGTAGGCACTCTTGATGGTGTTTTCATGGGAACAAAAGATGGGGCGGAGAGTGAGGGTACACGGGCCTCCTCTCAACCTTGAAGGGACCTAGCCACCAAGACTACGGACTCCAGGAAGGAGCCATCTGTCTCCTGTCCTTACCCAGTATAGATTTTCTGAGTATCCTGAAATGACACTTACCACCAGCAACCACCATCCCACACTTTTATCTGTCTTCTGCTTGATCTTGAATGTGTTTTTGTTAAATTCAGTTCTTTTCAGAGTGAAAAATCCATCCTTGCTTGAAGACATAGCTAGAGATGCATGGCCACCAATTAGATAAGTTTCCTTTTCCCCTGTTCTCTCCAGGCCTGAAAAGTCCACTGTGGCTGAAGACACACCCAGTGATCCAACACAGCCAAGGTGTTAGGTTTCATTTTCCCTGTTCTCTCCAGTCCTGAAAAAAAAAATCCAGTCTGGTTGAAGACACTAGAAACTAGCAAATTTACCATTTCAAAATTTGACCAAAACACCCATGAATGGGGCAAGAACACAAGGGATAATGAGGAGAGAAGAAGAAACATTGGACATCAAAATTCTCAGGCTATGACTGGCCCTCTAATCAGAGATGTAAAATTGATCTCCAAAATAACTGTCTTGTGTCATCACTAGGACGCCCACACACTCCTTCTCACCTGTCCATCCCTGTAAAGCTGCATGGCTGCTGTGGGCTGGAGAATGTAAAGGGTAAGGTGGGCAGGGCAGGGGTGGTTGAGTGTGTGTATATCTGTGTATGTGTGTGTTTGTGTGTGTGTGTGTGTGAAAGAGAGAGAGAGAGAGTCTCTGTGTGTTTAAACATCAGTCAGATAGAAAGAAATCTAAGGGAAGCCATCCACTCTGAAGTAGGCTGATGGGTGGAGCAGGTACCTACTTCCCCTATTGCTTTTCAAATATACATCAGAGTGCTGACTCATTGCAAGGGGCAGGCCATGTCTCTATTGGTTCAGTAGTAAGGATCTGCCCCCTCTTCTCAGATAAAAGTCACATCCTAAGCTTACCAGGTAACAAGACTTCTCACCATGTTAGGTTAGTAGACCTCAGTGCTCTCGTGGGCTGGGAACTTGGGACCCTGACCTAAATCTGGCAAGAACTGACTGATCTCAACCACCTCTAACCTTCCCTACCCACCCTATCTCTTCCTAGGAACACTCATAGGTGCTGCAGTAGGAGCAGGTATGTTTCTTGTGCCTGTTGTGAGGCTGTTGGGGCTTTGTTTTCTGCGGTGGACTCTACACCAGTTCCTGCCTTCTGCTGGATTCTGGAGCTGCCTGGGGAAAAGCCAGGGCCAGAGCTGTGCTCACTCACTCTGGGGATGAGATTCACGTTTACTGACTAGTTTCTCCTCCAGGCTTTTATATAATGAACAGAAAGGAGAGAAGTATGTTGAGCAAGGGGAGGGGCAGTTAGTTAAAATGAAATAGTGGATCAACCCTTCATAGAAAGTGAGGCTCAGTGCTGAGATCTCCAAGTTCAGACAAGTTGGTAAGACCCTGGCTCTGTCAGATCCTCCACTGACCTCTTGGCCTCCACCTGGATCCCTGCCCTATCCTTCTTTACCGTTGGACCCTTTACCTGCTGTTCGTAAAAGATAGACCCCCCCAAACTGTCCAAAAATTCTTGAGTGTGTCTTTTCCCTGAGTCCACACCAACTCCTCTCCCTACAGCTGTGGGTGTGGGAGCTGCACCTGTAGTCCTGACTGCCATGGGCTTCACGGGGACAGGAATAGCAGCAGCATCCATAGCAGCCAAGATGATGTCAGCAGCTGCAATCGCCAATGGGGGTGGAGTTGCAGCCGGAAGCATGGTGGCAGCAATGCAGTCAGCAGGTAAGTGTCCTTCCAGGCAAGATGACTGGACAGACAGCCAAGGAGGGCATCTCCCTGCCTCTCCCTCTTTTCCCACCTTTAATATCACCTGTGTCTTATACTTCTGTCCCTGCTATCTGCTTCACTATGAGTGAGGCTGGGGCGGGGTGCAGAGTCAAGGATGCTGGATGGCAAGAGCAGTAAAGAGCCCTGGTCCAAGAGTCATGCTCCCTGGGCTCTGAATCTTCCCTAACTGGGTGTCCTTCTCCAGTGTGTCCCCCTCTGTACTGTAATGTAGAGAGGACAGTCTTCTCAGGAGAGGTCTTTCTCCTGTAACTCAGGTTACCCAAATCTGTCTAATCCTTCTGGCCTAGTTTGAGTATCTCTGTCTAAAGCAGAGCCCAAGGTTCATACAAAAAGACAGAGGGGCATATCTAAGTCACAGGCCACTGACGGTCACTGCACTGTCTCCTTCCCAGGTGTACTTGGACTCTCCACATCAACCAACGTGATCGTGGGTACTGTTGGGGCTGCTGCCGCCGCCATCTTGATTTGAACTTAGGAGATAACACCTCTACCAGTAGACCCCAAAGACTATACGGAGTATCTAGGAGACAGTGTACCCCAAGAGGATCTTCAAAATCTCTCACTGACATCATAGAAAACAATGAAAAATAAAGGCCTTTTGCTGGTGTACCTATCTTTGCTTGTGGTGGCTCTTTGAAGGGGTTTTATAACTGAAAGTTTCAAATCTACAGGTTTCCACAGCCAAAATCAGGCTAGATATCAAATGGATGTGGCCAACACACAGCCAAAAGAGAAAAATCCTCATGTGGCTCCTGCCTTAGTTATGATGGTATGTGTATCATGGGGGCCGCTTTGGGTCTTTATGGACCTCACTGTGTTGCTTATTAAAAGTTGGGCTCATAGAGGCTCCCGTTCTGGGGCAAAGGTGAGAAGTATCCAAGAACATTGACCTGAAAGCTGTTGGTCCTTTGCCATCAATGGTTCTGAATATGCAGGACGATGAGCAGAACAGACCTAACGCACTGTACTGCTGAAAGACTGACAGAGAACTAACAGGGATTCACTGGGCTGAGCTAATGCATGGGGACCTCAGGAAGGAGATAGAATCAGAAATGCTCATCTCCATAAAATGTCCATAAAGTTAAAAAAAAGGTCGAAATTCCTGCCTCATAACCAGGGACACTGACCACACCCTGACCCAAGGTGGGTAGTCATCACCCAAGTGATGCATAATGCAGTGCTGGAAAAGGTCCACACTGATGTCCCGAGGCAGAAAGATTCGGCCCTTTGTCAATCCATTGGGACACAGTATACCGTTCACAGTAATGATAGTCACAATCTTCGAATACTGAGAGTCAAGGTCTTGATCTTCAGAAAAAGATCTGGAAGACTTCCTGGAGGAGGGACAAATAGATGCCCCAAGGAGAGGCATGCAGAAGTCTCTCAGGGGGAGCGCACAGAGAGACATAAGGTTGTGTGAGGGCATCAGTTAGGTCAGGTCTGATGGTTTCATGCATCAAACACTTCCAGGCAATCAAGGAGAAGCTCTGTGGGGTCTTTGTCTCTCAGCAGGAGGGCTGGGATGGTGGCTTAAGTTTTCCAGAAACAGGTGTGAGGCTGGTCCAGGAGAAGTGGATGATAATACATCATTCAGGCTTTCGATACCCACCTATCTGGAATGGCCCCTCTAGAGGACCTCCACAAGGCTGATGGGGTTAGGAATCGCTCCTGGTCCAAAGTCAGTTTCTCAGCTTCCTTATTAGCATAGCAGTGGTGTCCAACAGACAGAAACAGGACCAAGTCTGTTGGACAGATAGGCCGCTGTCCTTTTCCAGGGTCAAAATACCTGAGCTAAGAGGTCCCCCACCTTTGAAATCACTTGCATAGGGCAGGATGCCCTCGTTGACCCTTCCTTCTTGGTGTCCCTGATTTCCCATCTGGGATCTCTTTTATAGGCCTTTGAAAGCATTGCTAACACTGCTGAGGTCAATCTTTGGTTTTGTATTTTCTCCCACACAGTAAAAGGTTATTATTAACCTTTGCATTTTGGTTTATCATTTTCTCCAATAAAAAAAAGGTTATTGTTAACCTTTTCAGCAATCTCCAGTAATTATGGGCCCCTTCATATCTAACTTTGGAAATTCCTCTCTATTCACTTGGGCTGACTACCCAGCAAAACCAATACTAAAGCTGGCTTCATTTCTGGTCTTTCTGTGCCTATGGGAGTGGACATCAGGTGAGGGTCATAGAAGCAAACCCTATGGGTGATTCCTGGGATTCTTGTGCTTTGTCTCTCACCTAGACACGCTGGTAATTTATAGAAGCGTCCTTCGATCCTCATAAAAAGGACCTGGGGAAAACTGCTCAGAGCCTGCTTTTTTGGGGCAATGCTGGAGTCCCAGTCAGGTCAGGGAGAAGAGAAAACTCACTCTAGGAGGGCTTCACTGTCTGGCAGTGATCCTTGGCCAGGACCCAGGGTGGTTTTTCTGCTTCCATGCCTGAGTCTGTCCCAAGTAGAAAAGTCTAAGACTTCCCTAGAAAAATTCTATTCAGTGAAGCATTTTCCGCATACCAAACATGGGCTAGGTCTGTGTTGGAAACAGGAAGAGGAAGACAGTTCCCTCCAGTGAGGCTGTGCTACTGAGAGGGCAGGCAGAGGGTTCAGGTTTCTGTGGTGACTGAGGTTTGAGTGCAGGTCACCAGTATCAATCACTGGATACCTAGTGCAAGGGCAGTAGGAATACAAACCAGGCTCTGGTGACGAGACCAGTGGCTCATAGCAGGATGCCATGCTAAATTCCTCATAGGGCCCGAACCAACCCACACCTGCCTGGTCAATATAGGTCAATTCCCCCTGCAGGGAGGAGCCACTGAGGAGGTGACCTGCTCAGAGATCAAAGGGAAAAGGATAACTTCAGTTTGTAAGCTGAGCTTATTCTACCTGAGCACTCATCTACCCCTGTGTCTCTGTGAGAAATGGTGGGAGAAAGACGTGAGCCTAACCCACCCAAGCCCAGGGAACAGAAGCGACAGTCCCTGCTCAACATTCACCACACAAACAACACACAAGATGATAAGGAAAAGGCTGGCAACCACTTGGTTTTATTTCTTATTTCCAATTAGGCATCTGACACTGGCAGATCATCTCCTGGGGTTGACTGATCATTCTCTAGGTTGACCAAGCAGGGAGGTGTCACCTCTACTCCCCTGTCCTCTAAACAGAGAACTCGATCTCACACAGATGCAATTACACTACACAGAAGAGAAGATCCTGCAGATCCCAAGAGGACAGATCATTCCCTGAGGTTAACTGATCACTCTCTGTGTTGGAGAAGCTTGGGGTTGTCTCCTCTGCTTCCTTGTCTGCTTCTGTGAGGAGTGAAAGGATAGAACTCTCAGAGATACCATTATGCTGACACAATGGGAGGTCATGTAGATGCCAGGAGGGCAGATTGTCCACTAAGGTTAACTGACCATTCTCTAGGTTGGACAAGCTGTGACCTGACCCCTATCCTTTCATGTCCTCTTCTCAAAGGAGAGAAGGACGGGAACTCTGAGAGATGCCCATCACACTGGCCACCACGGCAGATCCTGCAGAGCCTAAGAGGACTTTAGATGACAGGGAGAGTCCTGCAGCTCCTGGGGAAGAAACAAATGATGAAAATCGTGAGATGGGATCAAACTGGGTCCCAGAGGGTCATCATAGCATCATTCAGATGACCTAAGTCACAAACTCTCTACAGCATTGCTACTTCTAAAGTCTCTGGGATCTGTATCCATCACAATTACTTTTACAAGAAACAAAAGGAAGTCCATAACGAACTCTAGGGATTCCCTTTCTGTTAGGAAAGAAGGCTGGACCCAAGGTGGAGCTTTGTACCCCAGCTAATCCTTTCCTCCCTCCTCCAGCTCTCCTGCTAAAACCCTGAAAGAAGATAAAGCAGGAAGTGAGAAGCTGGACTGTGTCTTGCCCTCCCTCTAGTCCACCTGCCATGACACTTACCCACGGACTGCAGAGTGGCCACCAGGCTACCAGCCGCGACTCCACCCCCATTAGCAATAGCTGACAAGGACATCATCTTAGCTGCTAGAGAGGAGGCAGCAATTCCTGTCCCAGTGAAGCCCACAGCACCCAGCACGGGAGGCACAGCAGCTACGGTCATGGCTGTGGGAAGAGGCTGGTGTCAGGTGCATTTGGGGAAACGGACCCACAACACACTGGGTCAGAACGGAAAAGGATTGCTGGGGTCTGGAGAAAGGGAGAATGAGCAGAGCAGACTGGGCCAGGTCTTTTCCTCTTCCTCTGAGCCCTCCTTGGAGAAGGGCAATGCACAGGTGGATAGTAGTTCTAGAGGCAGGCTCTGAACCAGAGAACCAGGAATCAGGGATCATAGGCAAAGAGTGGATGTTTGTCACTGCAGATAGAGTCCTGGGCTGGCTCTGATGAGTAGCAAGACCTTCACCCGGTAAGTTGCTGTTGAGGCCTCAGTGTCTGTCCTGATCTAATACTTGGGTAAGAGATTGGCCCATTGTATGTGTTTGCAGAGGATCACATCTTGCCCAGGAGACAGCAGGTGCATGGAACACAACCATCGAGGCTGGAGGAGGTGTCAAGAGTCCTGCTGTGTCTCCAGTGAGCAAGTCAGAAGCCACCAAGCTGATGGGGCCTGGAAAGCATTGTCTAGTACGTTCCAACTCTGCTCAACTCAGCCATACAACACCCTAGACATCTCTAAGTTAGCTTGACGAGCTCATCTTTCAAAGGAAAAGTAGGAGCTCAAAGGAGTTTAAATCCAGTCACCAGGCATCAAGGTGACTATTCTTAAACAAGGAGGTGGGTACCTGTTAGAGATGTGGCCTGTGACTACAGTATACTCCACCTTTGTCTCAGGTCTTTCTTTCTAGCCACTTCCTTCCTCCCATCTACAGCCTTGCCCAGCACCTGCAGGGAAGCCTCCTGGGGCAAAATGGGATGTTTCCTGGCTCTCTGTTTACAGGGAGGGTGGGAATGAACTTGTACCCCTTCCCTGAAGATACTTACCTCCCCCAAGCACAGCAACAGCAGCCTTGGCTAGAAAGGAAAAGAGAATCCTGTGAGAGGATCCGCACTGTCCCCTACCCCATCCAGCTTACAGGAAGGACCGAACCCTGTCTGTTCCTCCCTGAGAGGGAGGACCCACGTGCATTTGTCTGCCCTGAGGAGGCACAGGCAGCTTGGCTCTGGAGAACTCAGACATCTCAGATGAATTTTGCTCTGTTCTTCCATTATTTGCCTGCTTGCTGTTTGCCTGTTGTGGGGAAGGAAGTCTGATGTGGTTACCTTTTCTGTTCTCTGTAGCCTCCAAAGAAGGCTAGGTTCAAACAAAACAAAAACAAAACCAGCTGGGGATACAGGCTGATAAGGAAATGACTGTCCTGGCTCCATGAGAAAAGAAAAAAAGAACACTATTCCTGTGGGTATCACTAGAAACCATGTGGTAGCCTCTCTCAGTGAGCACAGAGTACTCGGCCTGTTATTGGCAGTCCTGGCTTGACTGATGGAGGGCTTAGCCGCCATCATGGTCAGGAGCACAGTAGCAGGCAGGCAGTCACAGGAGGTTTTTGAAACTTCAAAATCTAAACCCAGTGGCACACCTCCTCCATCAAGGTCGCACCTCCTAAATGTTCCCAAAATCTTCCACCAACTAGTGAGGAAACAGAGTATTATGTGAGTCGTTCGGTTCTGTTCTCATCCAGACACAATAGCTATCCTGGTGGGTTCTTCCCTTCACATAGTGCTGCTGGTTGATAGGAAGCAGTTTCAGTGTTTGCCAGTGTGGATTATCCGACACTCTTCCTTGGCCCTATGTGATGCAGAAAATCTCCGGGGTATAGAAAGAGGTACTTCATGGTAAGGTCTAACTGGATCTAGGCAGCACATCTGTGATGCAAACTTGTGAACTGATTTTTTTTTTTTATATTGACAGGGTCTCTCTGTGTAGCCTTGGCTGTCCTGGAACTCACTGTCTAGACTAGGCTGGTCTTGAACTCAGAGATCTGCCTGCCTCTCATTTCCAAGTGATGGGATTACAGGCATGCACTACCACCACCTGGCTGAAGGCTACTTAAGAGACTTGTTTGGGTGAACTGAGATACCAATTCATTGTTCACTTTTTCCGGAAGCTTTCCCAGACCCCTTTGAACAGAATTCATTAATTTAGATATTGAGCTACCATATTAAGCCTTGTTTGGGTACATATGAGCTCAGCACCCAACACTGTGAGCCCCCAGACAACATGCAGGATCCTGGTCCCCAGCAGACACTTGTGCCAGGATTGAAAACTCTGAAGCTGGTAGTGCCAGGAGGTCAAAGGTAATCCAGAGAGCTTAGGCAGCTCTCTAGTGGCCTATGGGGTAAGCTAGGGGAATGGAAGCCAGGTTTGTACAAGGCAGGTACTGAGTTGCCAGGAGCACTCTCTGGAGGGCACGTGGACCCAAGGGCTCATGAGCTTGGAAAGCATTTGCTGTTCACTGGTACTGGCAAGCAGGGGACATAGTTACCAGGCTGCCCTGGCCATGAAACACGAAGGCCTTTGCTCCAAAAGAAGTGCTATCTGTCGTAATCCCACCATGCTGGGCTCAACTGAAGGCCACAGAACTAGCTGAGTCTTTTGGAGATATTTAGAACTTCAGTCTTGGGCCTCTTCCCACCATCACCTGCACGACTCTGAATTTCCTTTTTATTTACTGGCCCTTGCAGAATGAGAAGCCCTACAATTCCTCCTGCCCAGAGCCTTCAACAATGGTCCCTCTGGTCAATGAGGAATAATAATGACAGGCATGGTGGCTGTGCCAGCAGTTTCAGTATCGAGACAACGGACAGGAAAACTGTCACAGGCTTAAGGGCAATTAATTTTACTGTGTTACATGCACAGTGACTCCTAAGCTAGCCTGGGCTATAGATTCAGCCCCCTCTCCAAAAAGAGAGGGCAACAATGTTATCTTCCTCTGAGGCTATTAGAACACTTTAAGGAATATATCAATGTAATGGGCTAAAAATTGAGGCATGAATACATGCAATAATATCCAGTGATCCTATATTATCTACTTCTCTGGGTTCCCTAACCATCTGCATTTCTGACAAGCAGAAAGGAGAGCAAACTGTTGCCTGTCATAGTCCTTGTTGAATCTTGAGCTTTGCCCACGACCCTGGCATGGGAGCTGCATTAAAATTAGTCTGGACTCCAAATCCCAGCATGCTAGTTCTTGAGGGGTCAGGACCACTCCCACAGGGTATTTAAGTGGGCTCCCAGAGGAGAAACACGTGGTTTCAGGTTTGCATGGGCTCCCTGCTTTCTTGTCCTGCCATGAGCTCCGTCTCTCAAGAGCATCGTACTTAATGAATAATGTACATTTTAATTTGGTTTGATCTGACCTTATTGGATTTCTTTGCACTGGCAGAGCCGCCCTTCTTCATATTTTTTTCTTAACAGTTCTCCATGCCGATTCGGGGCTCAGGGAGGATTTCTGATATGCAGGGCCACTTACCTCCAGTGGGACAAACAGCCAAGACATAGGCAGGGCCCCCTGACAGGATGCTTCCAGCCTTCAGTGCCCCAAATGCAGATGCAAGCATAGGTGCTCCAGAGCCCAGGGCAGTCTGGGCTAACAGGGTGAGCCCTGGAGGGAAAATGTTACTGTTTGGGAAGTGTCAGAAGCACATCCTCCATGAATTGCCTTCGGTGTGGTCTAGAGAAATCCTTAAGTGCATCTGCCCTGGGGATACAAAGGGAAAGAACACTACCTGCACAAAAGACTGTGTGTGCTTTCAGAAGTCCATGTCTCTAGGTTCTTCTAGGGACACAGGTGGAGAGCCATGCAAATGATATAATATGTCTGCAGAAACATACACACACACACACACAAACATGTTCACACCAAAACCCTGAAAATTTGGGGGTGAAAGAGAAGATATCTGGGAGGAAAATAAATAAATAAAAGTGAGGAGGAGGCCACACAAACTGGAGGAAGGACTGAAGTATAGAACTTTGTAGAGATCGACACCCTGGCTTGTAGATTCAGAGGGTCAAAAGTTTGGGAAAGAAAAAAAATGGGAATTCTCCTGGTAAATCAAAGAGACATGAGAACAGAATATAGAACCCAGATCTAGACCCCAGGAATCAGGTTTCTGAGTAGGACCTAATAAAGCATGTAGGTCTGTGCTGTTAGGGAATCAAAGGCCAGGACAATGCTAGGGTCTGATCTCCTTCAGGGCTTTCTCACAGATAAGGCCATGTGTGTGAGAGTGGGATCCAAGGGCAGGATGCTGTACTCTGCATCACTATCTCCTCACTCCCCACTCTCGAGCCTCCTTTGTCACTTACCCTGGGAGCCAGCTAGAATGGTGCCCGAGACTGCACCTCCAGCTTTGGCCATAGCTGTTGAAGCTGTTATCTTGCAGACAAGGGAAGCCACTAGCGTGCCTGTTCCAGACAATGCCATGTGGTCCAGTAGAAGTTCCAAATACAACCCGAATCTGTTAACGGAATTGGAGTTTTGCTGAGGAGACTGGGCCCAGTGGTGGATTCCCACCTGCCAACCTGGAAATCCCGGAGTCTCCAGGGTGGATAGAGCACCTGGTCAGAGTTGGTGGTAACAGTGCAAGGTCCTGCACCTGTTTAATAGAAGGGGGCTCAGGAACCATTTCAGCCACTGCAAGTGATTTGCTCAGGGTGAAAGGCTCCATGGCAAAGACATGCACGTCCAGCTGCTGACAAATGCCAACTCTCGCCATGTTGCTCTAACACTTGGAGCTCAACTCACCTCCTCTCTGGCCTGCAGGGGCAGCTGAAGCCTTGGATCCCTTCCTCCTAGGTAGGCACTCTTGATGGTGTTTTCATGGGAACAAAAGATGGGGCGGAGAGTGAGGGTACACTGGCCTCCTCTCAACCTTGAAGGGACCTAGCCACCAAGACTACGGGCTCCAGGAAGGAGCCATCTGTCTCCTGTCCTTACCCAGTATAGATTTTTCTGAGTATCCTGAAATGACACTTACCACCACCAACCACGACCCCACCCTTGCATCTATCCACCCCTCTCCCCCCTGATCTTGAATGTGTTTCTGTTAAATTCAGTTCTTTTCCGAGTGGAAAATTCACCCTTGCTTGAAGACGTACCTAGAGATGCACAGCTGTCAACTAATTAAGTTTTCTTGGAAAAAAATATCCACTCTGGCTGAAGACACACCCAGTGGTCCAAGGCTGCTGACGAGAGGGGTTTCGTTTTCCCAGTTCTCTCCAGTCCTGAAACAAAATCCAGTCTTCTTGAAGACACACCCAGTGATCCAGGCAGCCAATGAGATAGGTTTCCTTTTCCCTGTTCTCCAGGCCTGAAAAAAAAAAATTCCACTCTGATTGATGACTCACCCAGTGATCCAAAGCAGCCAGTGAGTTAGGTTTCGTTTTCCCTGCTCTCTCCAGGTCCTTCTGGGTTGGAAAGAATATGCTATTATTCTATAACTGAGGCCTTCTGAGTGTTACTGTGTTTGCAATGTATTGTAACATATTACTTTGATAGGGCTGTTTTTACCCCAACCCATGCCAGTGTTCTGTAGGAACTGGAAGTAATAAAATTGATGTTATGACGATTTATTAAATAATCTTGCTTAGGAACTATTGTATCACATTAAGTGGAATTTATCTAAAGGAGTGCTGCTTCCAATATGACTAGAAAGTTCAACTTATATAAAGAGGCTTGTTGTAGATTGTCATAAAGAAAAGTTTGTAATATAGTGTAGAACCCTCACCCCTTATTCTCAACGGGGTGAGAAGAAATTCCCTAGCAGAATGTTTTCCAGGAAGATAGTGTCCTTCCCCTCCCCCAACGGGGAGATTCTGAGCACAAGGACACTTGGCTCAGCACAGTCAGCCTCCTGGTACAGGCTGATAAACATGGCCTAACTCAGGAACAGTGGCCTTGCTCTAAAAACAAGGAAAAGGCTGGCTTAGCAGGATGGGAGGGAGCAAAAGCCTTGCACCCGTGCCAAAGCAGCTTCAAAAAGCCTCTTTGTAATTATGCCTTTAAAAGCTTACCCCACAGAGGAGAGACAAGTCCTCTCTCTACCTCCCTATACTGGGGTCAGGAGACAGGGGTTCCAAACATGTTTGTATTATGCTGATTAAACCTTGCTTATTACAGTCTGGGCCTCTCTGGTGGTCTCCCTCTGGGGGTCGTAATCTGGGCATAACAGTAGTTGAAGTTTCAGGTTGTTGAGAAAGTTTCTGCTATTGCTCACCATGATTGACCCCACACACCCCCAATTAGGCCCCATTCCCATAGCAACAGGAGACAACCCTGACTCTCAATCAGCCATGCTCCTCAGGGAGCATTGCAAGGTCACATGTACCACTGGTCCTGGTCTACCATCAAGTCCCCTGACCTCCTATCAGGTGGGCAAGATGCCCAGGAAAGGAAGTGCCAGCTTCTGGACTGTGGGTAGGGTTCAGAGGAAAATTCACAGCATTGCTAAGCTAAGACTTTTGCTATCTGAGAGGGTTAGGGAAAAGAAAAAAAAGCATACATTTTCCTGATGATTTCACTCTTTATTTTCTTATGTTGAATTCTGCCAACTCTGTTTGTTCTTCACAGCTTACAAAGACCCACAAAATCTTTCAGGCATTTTATCTGAAGGTCACATGCCATTTCTTAAGTAAATGATAAGAATCAGAGTCATAATAAATCCACATCAACTGTCGCAGGAAGGATCTCTTTCTCTCAGTCAGCTCCCTAATTAGTGGACTGCAAGCCTAAACTGCAAAATGAAAGATTTTTTTTTTTTTTTTGTTTTTTATCTTATCTACAGAGGTAGGCTTATGGAAGTAAACTCCTAAGGAGACTAGGCGTAGTAAGGAAATTGTGTGCTAGATTCTGTACTACTAAGTGTATGAACATTTTCAACATTTTGTGGTTAGTGCTCTTAAAAGCAGGACTTTCCCAGACTGGAGACTGTTTCCAAGGGCGATTGTTGTCAGGCAAAGCTGAGTCAGGGCTCCACTGAGAGGACCTTGCAGTGTGAGCTGCAGGGCAGGGGTGGGGCCTGGAGGGCAGATGAGTTCGTGCAGCCTTCTCCAAGGCACAGCGACAGCAAAAATGTTTGAAATCTTACAACATAGTTTCTGCCCTGCATGGAACCCTTGACCATATTAAAGGAAACTTGTAATGCTTTCTTGGGGCTATGAAGTTAGTTTATTTTGTGTAGCCCTGGCCTGTTAGAGAACTTGTCGGGGACCAGCCCCTACGAAAAAACAGTTCTCACCAGTGTAGAGGCGTGGGAAAAACAAAGACACAATTCATGCAACAGTATCAAGTTTCAGGGATTATTCAGATCCTGAAATCACCCACGTTTATAATTTCCAAAAGCTTTTATACCAAAGGTAATCTGGGGGAGACGGTAACGAAAAGTTTTATTAACGTTCTGTTGCCTAGGTAACGGGAATGATTCAAGTTGCGTTTCATCTATGTCCACTTGGCCACGTAGGCTAAAACACCTCCTCACCAGGTGACCTCATAGTTACAATGGAAGGAGCAGAATCACATTAGCATATCCTGGCACCTCAGGATGACACCGAGTTTTCTTTACTACATTAGAGCCAGGTGACCACCTCCTGGTGTGGAAGTGCAAATTGTGCCTGTAAGTGTCTCAGATTCTCTGACTGCCAGACAATGTGGGAATGGGCCCCTGCAATTCCTCCCTTCTTATTAATTTTAATAATGCCTGTGCTTCTCAACAGGACAGATGAGCGTGTCTGTCCTAGGTGAAGGCTTTCTCATTTTCCCAGACTTATCTGTCACTGGAACAGGCATTCTTAATTACTTGAGTCTCTGTCTTAGGCTTCTGGGGCGAAAAAGATTCAAATCCATCTCTGACTGCCGACCTCTGTGAACAAAAGAGATTAAGGGAGAGAACTAGCTTTGGACTCTGTTTCTCAGAGCCAAACTTTTTTTGCCATAATGTTTTATGAATAATCGTGCTCCCAAAGGCGATAATCTCCTATAGTTAAAGGAGAGGAGACCCCCCCACCCCGGGTTGGAAATGTTTTCTTCAACTGGTTTAGAGCACCTCTTAACAATTTTATACTGTATAAAAATCCACTCTAAAACTCTTAACAAATGTGTTAAATTCAAGCTTTCCAGGACATGTCAAACCTTCCTAACATCTTCTAAGCAATTACAAACATTACCAGGTCGCCGGGTGGATCTGGTCAGTGTTCATTGTGCTGGCCAGTACTGAATAAGGCTTGCTTCAAACCTGGCAAAAAAATTGTGGTAGAGGTCTTATTACCCCCGATGGAATTAACACCCTCCCAGAGATATTTGATATAATCAGTCAGTAAAATTCGGAAGTATTATCTCTTTTGAAGATTCTGTTTTTATAGCAATAATATGCCTTCCCTGTGAGAAATCACTCCACATACGTGGAGATTAGTAAAGAAAAAGTGGGCGAAGATTGGGCACAGTGGTTAAGAGTACTTCTGCTGCTGCCTAGGTCCTGGGTTCAAGTCCCAACACCCACATGGAGGCTTACCACCTCGTCAGACACCAACTGCACAGATATACACGCTGGCAAAGCACTCATACACATAAAATAGTAAAAATGAATCTAAAACATTTTTGAAGGAAAAGCTCAATAGTAATAAACAAACAAATAAATTAGCTCAGAGGGTCTGGCCATGCATATAGAATTTGGCCATGAATAGAAGATTTTACTAGCGTCTTTACATCGTAGGCTTAGCATTCCACACCTGTTGTCATCCTTAAATCTCTGTGAGTCCCAGCCCCAGTGCCCACACACTTTGAACAATTTAAACTGAAACAGGAGATTGCAAGTCTGGCCGTGTGAGCAGGCGGGAGGTTTATGCAGCAGAGATACTGTCAGAATCACTTCTTAAGTACATCAGTGTTGTTCTTTTCAAATGTTTGTACCCAGGTCCATCTTGCCCAGCTGCAGGATCAAGCCTTTCCTGATGAGAGGCCAGGGGACTTGATGGTAGATCAGGGCTCATTGGTAGCTGTGGCCTTGCAATGGCTCCCTTAAGCTGCTGCTTAGATACCTGTTCTTTGATGTAAGTGTAACTAATGGATGATTTTGAGTCAGGGTTCTCGCCTGTTGTTATGGGAATGGAGCCTAATTGGGGAGCAAGGATCTTGGTGAAAAATAGCAGAAACTTTATCAACAACCCTAAACTTCAATTATGGTACAAACTTTTCTTTTTTTACAGTCTGTAACAAACCTGGTTATATACTATTCACCTTCTAGTCATATTGGAAGCAGCGCTCCTTTAGATAAATTAGTGTGACTTAATATTTCCTAAGCAAGATTATTAGTAAACCTTCATGGCATCAATTTTATTGCTTCAAGTTTCTATCGTGTCACTGTCACGGGTGAGGAGGGATAAAAAACTGTTATGCTTGAGTCCCGAGACCCACCAGCAAGACCACTACAAAGTCGACTTGCGATGCAGTTATACAATGACTTGCGATGCAGTTATACAAGTTTCTTTATTGTACAGACTTGCAAGCCCTTGTCCCACACACCCAATGCAAAGAAAAGCCCCAAACTCACAGTGCAGGGGATCTTTAAAGGAAAAAACCCAAGAAGGGAATTACATACATTGGCATTACCAGATTGAGTAGGGGGATAGTTGGCTCTAAGTCAGTCAGGAGGAGATTTTTGTTTTTTGGGTTTTTTTTTAAAAATATTTATTTATTATGTATACAATGTTCTGTTTGTGTGTATGACTGCAGGCCAGAAGAGGGTACCAGACCTCATTACAGACGGTTGTGAGCCACCATGTGGTTGCTGGGAATTGAACTCAGGACCTTTGGAAGAGCAGGCAATGCTCTTAACCTCTGAGCCATCTCTCCAGCCCCAGGAGGAGATTTTTGTAACTTTCCACAAAACCACCAGGTAACTGTAAAACAAACAAACAAACAAACAAACAAAAAACAAACAAACAAACAAACAAAACCCCCGTGTTTGCCCAGCTTCTGATTGGCTGTTCTCAAGTCTCTGGGCAGCCAGGCAGTTTTGGGGCCAGTTGTGGCTTTTCTCTGAATTCCCAGCTACACGGGGTGGGGTTCCTGCTAAGTTAGACTCTCTCAAAGATCGGGCCTGGGTTTAAAATGGCTTTAATCTTGTCTCTTCAAAACAACCCTGGCAAAGAAGTAATATGTTACAATACATTGCAAACACAGTAACACTCAGAAGGCCTCAGTTATGGAAATAACAAAGCCCTGGAGAGAGCAAGGAAAACAAAACCATCTCATGGGCTGCCTTCCATCATTGTGTGAGTTTTCAGCCACAGTGGATGTTTTCCAGGATTGGAGAGAACAGGAAAAAAGAAAAAAGAAGAAAAGAAAAGAAAAGAAAACTGTCTCACTGGCTGCCTTGGATCACACTGGGTGTGTCTTCAGCAAGAATGGGTTTCTCAGGCATGGAGAGAGCAGGGAAAACGAAAACCAGTTCACTGGCTGCTTGCATCTCTAGGTATGTCTTCAACCACAGTGGATTTTCCAGAAACATGTCCAAGATCCAGCAGGGACGGGTGGAGGGTAGGGATGCTGTGGTTGTTGTTGATGGGTGTCATTCCAGCTTCCTCAGGAAATCTCCCTTGGGTGAGGTCAGGAGATAGATCGCTCCTTCCTGAAGACCTAGCCTCAGGTGGCAAAGGCCCTCGGAGTCTGAAGAGAGGCCAATGTACAGTCCCTCTCTGACCCTCCTTTTGTTTTCGCAGAGGAATCTATCATCAAAGCTGCTTACCCAGAAGGGAAGGGACCCAAGGCTCTACCTGCCCCATTAAGCTCAAGTTAGGGGTAACATAGTAAGAGCCTGCCATTTGTAAGCAGCTGGACCTGATTGATTTGTGTCTAATGTCTTTGCCATGGATGCTTAAGCCCTGAAGCAAATCACTTGCAGTGGCTGAAATGGTTCCTGATTCCCTGTCTATTTCACAGGGGTAGGATCTTGCACCTGTTAACCACCAATTCTGGGCAGGCAGTCTCTATACCCTGGAGTCTCAGGGTTTTCAACTGATTGGTAGGAATTCACCCCTGGTTCTGCAATCTCCTCCTCAAAATTTCCCTTCTTTTCACAGGTTTGGGTGGTGTTTGGAACCTCTACTGGGCTCCATGGTGCTGTCTGGAACAGGTATGATGGTGGCTTCCCTTGTCTCAAGGATAACAATTTCTGCAGCCGTGGTCAAAGCTGGAGGGACAGTCTCTGGCACCATACCAGCTGGTTTACAGGGTGAGTGCCCACGGAAAGTTTGAGAGTGGGGAGTAAGGGGGCAGTGTCAGAGAGTACAACATCTGTTCAAAGGAGTCTGGGAAGACTTCCTGGAGGAGGGAACAGTGTCGAGGAGCCTTAGTCCATCCGAGCATGTTTCTCAAGTAACATTCAGATTAACATGTTTGCATCATAGGTGCTTGACCTGGATGCAATTAGACCCTACCATGAAGCACCTCTCTCTAGCCCGAGAATTTTCTACCTTCTGTGGGATACAGAGAGTGTCTGATAACTGACACTGGCAAATGCTGACCCTGCTTCTAATTAACTAGTAGCCCTATGGTGGAGGGAGGTGCTGTGGGAGCTCCTTCTGCTCCTTCAGCCAATAGCCTTTAAGATACCACCCCACTTGGGCATGGTCTCTTTTGCTTTTTTTTTAAAAAAAAAAAAAAACAGCAGTAGCCCTGCTTGCTCTCGCTCTTTTGCTTCCGGCTCCACTTCTGGCTACTAGACTCTGTTCCTGGTCACACAGAGGGCTGTTGTCTAGGACAGTGATCTGTAAGTTTTCCCCTTAAATAAATAATCCTTTTATTAACCATAATTCCAAACTGGTGTGGGATTGTTTTGTGACTTATATCCACACCTGGCACCCACATGGATTTAAACTCCATGCCTCCCAGGTTCCACGAGCCCAGACAGTCTCTGCCCGCCTGGTTTGCTCTTTCCTGACTGGTTTTTAAATCCCAGTCGCAGCGCAGTGCGAGTCAGAGCACAAGCGGTTGCCAAATGCTACAATCCCTCGGGGTGACTCTTTGTTGGGAGGTGGCATATGCAGCTTCTGGGTTGCTGTTCTCTGCCCCTAGATCCTAGGTTTCTGGCTCCATGTATGGAATTGATGTAATTATATTTACTTTGTCAAGCAACTCATATTTTCCAGTCTTTAACAAATATCAAGGTGGACACTGAAACAAAGGTTTCTGTCACCTTTGCATTGATTCTAGTCATGTCTTGGCAACAGTGCCACCTGCTGGATAACAGGAAATATGGCAGTTTTCATTTCCAATGCAACTTTTACTGCTTCTTTTACTAATACAGTGGATACTAATACAGTATCCTATCTCTGCCTCCCGAGTGCTGGGATTAAAGACAAGTGCCACCACTGCCTGGCACTGGGTTTAGATTTTGAGGTTTCAAAAGCATCATATGACTGCCTGCCTGCTATCCATGTTCTGGACCATAATGGTGGTTAAGGCCTCCATCAATCAAATAGGAAAGTCAATTACAGTCCCAGTACTCTGTGCTCACTGAGAGGGACACCCACAGGAGTAGTGTTCTTTTTTTTTTTTTTTTTTTTTTGCTTTTCCCATGAAGCCAGGATAGTCATTTCCTTATCCGCCTGTATCCCCAGCTGGTTTTGTTTTTGTTTTCTTTGAACCTAACCTTCTTTGGGGGCTACAGAGAACAGAAAAGGTAACCACATCAGACTTCCTTCCCCACAACAGGCAAACAGCAAGCAGGCAAATAATGGAAGAACAGAGCAAAATCCATCTGAGATGTCTGAGTTCTCCAGAGCCAAGCTGCCTGTGCCTCCTCAGGGCAGACAAATGCACGTGGGTCCTATCTCTCAAGGAGGAACAGACAGGGCTCGGTCCTTCCTGTAAGCAGGATGGGGTAGTGGACAGTGCGGATCCTCTCACAGGATTCTCTTTTCCTTTCTAGCCAAGGCTGCTGTTGCTGTGCTTGGGGGAGGTAAGTATCTTCAGGGAAGGGGTGCAAGTCCATTCCCACCCTCCCCATAAACAGGGAGCCAGGAAGCATCCCATGTTGCCCCAGGAGGCTTCTCTGCAGGTGCTGGGCAAGGCTGTAGATGGGAGGAAGGAAGTGTCTCTAAAGAAGGACCTCGGACTGGAGAATTGGCTCAGAGGTTAGGAACACTCACTGGCCTCTTCCAGAGGTCCTGAGTTCAATTTCCAGCACCCACATGGCAGTGTACAACTGCCTGAAAGGCTACCTCTAAGTGAGTCAACACCCTCACATAGACATACATCAGGCAAAATGCCAATGTACATAAAACAAAAATAATCATTAAAAATTAAATAAAATGCTTTTTCTATAAGCTGTCTTGGTCATGTTATTTCATCACAGCAATAGAGAAGTAATTATGATAGTAACTTAGTCTTGAAAGGAGAGAGAGAGAGAGAGAGAGAGAGAGAGAGAGAGAGAGATCTCAGGGTCCCACCCGACTTGTTAGTCTATGCTTGGCAGGAGGGATGAGGATTAAGACATAATTGATAGAAGCAGGAGGGCATCCGCTGCATACTCTGATCCGCCAAATTTATTTACCATATCCCTCATCTGCCCCAATCCAAAATGGGAGAGGGCAAAAGACTCCTTTACCATGATATAACGAACATGTAAATGTGATTACCTCCTCACGTCTTAAAACACCAAGTAACCACCACCTAGAACACAATATCCTTTCGTCTAAGCAAAGCATTTTAAACCACACCTTAGCTCAAAATATCCTGTCTTAGAATGATTCACTTCTGTGGGCCTCCACAAGGAGGCAGTGCAGTGCAGTCAGAGGCCACATCTTTTGCAGACACCTATCACCCTCTGTGAGAATAGTCACCATGGGGCCGAGTGAATGTATTTGAACTCTTCTGAGCTCCTGTTTCCTTGAAAAACAATGAGCTTGTTGAGCTCATTTAGAGATTTCCAGGGGACCGTAGAACTATATAGGCAAAGAGTAGGAACACTCTAGACTTGCTATGCAGGCCCCACCAGCTTGGTGGCTCCTGACTTGCTCACTGGAGACACAGCAGGGCTCTTGACACCTCCTTCTGTCTCAACAGTTGTGTCCCTCGGATCTCCCATCTCCTGAGCAAGATGTGATCCTCTGTAAACACCATCTTTGGACTTTTGGCTTTGGGCATACTTTGCTCTTATTCCAGCATTAGACCAGGACAGACACCGAGGCACCAGCAGCACCTTTCTTGATGAAGGCCTTGCTACCCTTCAGAGCCAGCCCAGGACTCACTCTGCCTTCAGTGACAAACATCTACTCTTTGCCTATGCTTTCTGGCTCTAACTTCCGGTTCTCTGGTTCAGAGCTGCCTCTGGCCCCACTTTCTACCTGTGCTTTTCCAAGGAGGCCTTAGAGGGAAGAAGAAAAGACCTGGCTCAGTCTGCTCTGCTCATTCTCCCTTTTTCCAGACCCCAGAAGCACCCACCCCATTTTGACCCAGTGTGTTGGGAGTCCCTTTTTACAAATTCACCTGACTCTGCCCCTTTTCCCACAGCCATGACCATAGGTGCTGTGCCCTCTGTGCTGGGTGCTGTGGGCTTCACTGGGACAGGAATTGCTGCTTCCTCTCTAGCAGCTAAGATGATGTCCTTGTCAGCTATTGCTAATGGGGGTGGAGTTGTGGCTTGGTAGCCTGGTGGCCACTCTGCAGTCAGTGGATAAGTGTAGTGTGATGTTGCTTGTTTGTTCCAAGCTGCTCAGTCCCAAAATAATCACACAGAAACCATATGATTTGCAATACTTTTGGGCCAATAGCTTAAGCGTATTTCTGACTAACTCATATCTTAAATTAACCCATCTTCATTTATATTCTATATAATATCCACTTTGTTATAGAATATAATAGAATATCCCCCTTTAAATATAAACAAACATCTATAAACAATGTTTGGGAATTTAGGCATAATTCTCTCCAAACTTCTTGTTTTTTATTGAGCGAAGTAATTTTTGGGGGTGTTCACAGCAACCATCAAACTACATTAGCCTGGAATGAATCCACAGGTTCTCATCCTCTGTGGAAACAAAACAAGAGCCTCTTTTCTAAAGCAACAAATCCTTAGACCCAAATTCTGAAGTCATAATACCTTTATAATATACATGCTGGTTTATCTTAGCAGCTCATACAATAAACAGTCTCTCTGCACTTATCTCCTTCACAGTCAAAAAATTCAAAGAAAACACAATGATATACAGAATCCAGACTCTCTTATGTATATTCCATCTTTACATGACTTATTTTTCTTACACTATTACTTTTTCTACAAGTTTCATATTTATTTTATTATCTTTACTCTATGACTGTCTGTACTCTTTTATATTACATTTACTGTCTCTTTACTCTTTTTCTTCTCTCTCCCAAGCCTATGTACATTTACCCAACACCGTGTCTTGTTTAGAGTTCTTTTATGTCTGAATCTGTCCTATTGTGTATCTGTAATCCTATTCTGTCCTAGAGAGCTTTTAAAATGGTAAGCAGCTTGGGCACAAAAAACCTGGGTTCTGATTCTGCTTCTCTCTGCTTTTCAAAATGGCAGACTTACCATTCTCACCAGCTCTGGGACCGCCAGGTAGGAGCTGTGCTCACCACTTTAATTCTGAGAAGAGGGGTGCAGCACATAAACCCCTTTTATCTGAGTAATAGCTTAATCTGCCATGCAGCACAATGCATGGCCTGGAAATATCTCTGTGTACAGTAACAGCAGGAATCGCTCATGCTCTCCTGCTTGTGCAAGCCTAGTAGACCTGATCTCGTCACCTGCCTAGGCAGGGAGCCCTGAGCTATGGGCATGGTCTCAGCCACTTTCCTCCCAACTCTGAGTGGGCACACAAGCATCTGTGCCACAAACGCCATTCAAGTACTCGGCCTCCTGAAAGAGCCAACGCAGTTTGTGCTGTCGTTTTGAAATCGTGTGGGTTTGATTTTTTTTTTTTATTGCTCACCACTGAATCAGGAAGACCTCTTTTAAAGGAGCTGCTGCATGCTGCCAGCAAGCAGAGCACATCCGGTAAAAAAAAAAATGTGACTAAACTTTGTTTTTTTGTTTCTAGAATACCTTTCCAAGCCCTCTCAGGTTTCATGTGAATTTAGCTAGCACACGTTGGGTGTCAATTTGTTGTATGAGACTGCATGTTTATTCCTGGCTGTTCAGCCCCCAAATAACCACACAGAAACTGTATTAATTAAATCCATTAGCTCTAGCTTTTTATTGGCTAACTCTTACCTCTTAATTTAACCCATTTTTATCAATCTATGTACCACCACATGTCTGTGGCTTACCAGCAAGGTTCAGGCTCATCTGTTCCCAGCAGCAGTTGCATGGACTCTGACTCTGCCTTCTTTCTCCCAGAATTCAGTTTAGTTTTCCCTGCCTGGCTCTACTATGCCCACAGGACAATGCAGAGTCTTTATTCATTAACCAATTATATTCACAGAATTCAGAAGGAAATCTCACATCAGGTAAGTATCATGGCAGGAGGACTAGAGGGAGGACAAGACACAGTCCAGCTTCTCACTTCCTGCTTTATCTTCTTTCAGGGTTTTAGCAGGGGAGGTGGAGGAGGGAGGAAAGGATCCCTGACCAGCTTGTCTGAGTTTCAAAGCTCCACCTTGGTCCAACCTTCTTCCCTACAGAGGGGATGCTATCCAGATGGATTGGCATTCCCTGGAGTTTCAGCATTGAGACATTCTTTGTAAAGTAACTGTGCTACACACTGATCCTGAGAATTTGGAAATAAGGAGGATTCTGTGGAGATTCAGTACTTCGTGCCATCCTAAATGACCTGGTAACTATGACCCTCTGTGACCCACAGTTTCATCCCATCTCACAGCTTTTATCCTTTGTTTCTTCCACAGGAGCTGCAGGGCTCTCCCTGTCATCTAAGTTCCTCTTGTGCTCTGCGGGATCTGCCCTCACGGCATCTGAGTGTTCTAGCCCCTCTCTGCTCTGAAAAGGGGACACGGAGGCAGAGGTGATACCCCCAGCTTGTCCAATTCAGAGAGCAATCAGATAACCCCAGGGTACAATTACTCAATTCAAATACCAAATTTGAAATAAGAAATAAAATGGGGTTGTTGCCAGCATTTTTCTTTATCATGTGCGCTGTTTGTGTGGTGAAGGCTGAGCAGGGACTGTCGCCTCTGTTCCCTGGGCTTGTGTGTGGTAGGCTCACCTCCTTCTCACAGAGACACAGGGGTAGGTGAGTGCTCAGGTGGAGAAATCTCAGTGCACAAACAAAGTTGCCCTTTGCTTTGCTACTGATACCATAGCTCTGAGCAGGTCACCTCCTCAGTGGCTCCACATGGGGAGTTGACCTAAATGTCTTCCCAGATCCTAGGCAGGTGCAGGTTGGCTCAATCTCTATGAGAAGTTTAGCATGACATCCTGCTTTAAGCCACTCATCTCAAAGCCAGAGCCAGGTTTGTATCCCTACCGTCCTCTGCACAACATACCCAGTGATTACTGGTGGCCTGCATTTAAACCTTTTGTCTCTGCTAGGTCACCAGAGAAACCCAAAACCTCTGCCTGTTCTCTCAGTTCCACAGCCTCACTGGAGAAAACTGACTTCCCCCTTTGTGTGCCCAGCACAGGCCTTGGCCATGCGTGGGGAGGGGAAAACAGTTCTCTGGTCACACTAGGTCTGGGGAAGTGGTAGTATCTTCTACTTGGGCCCCCACCCCCTTCCACAGAGGCAGAGTGGCTCTAGCTATGGGGCCTCCAGGAGGAATTTCCCTGGGGCAGAGGCAGTCCTCATCCTACCTCTAAGGGAGCACCCCTTGGTGTCCCCAGAGTCAAGGGCTCTCCCCTCTCTGCCTTTCAACATTCATGTCTCCTTTTCAAGCAGCGATCTGTAGAATTGGAAGATTCCAAATTCACCATCCCCTGAAAAACCTCAAGTCCTCTTTAGTCTCCTAGAGACAGTTTTTATGCCCAGCAGCGACCTGGAATGACAGCCAGCAGCTCCTTGTCACCCTCTTCATTGCAGAAGGGACAGACTCCGGCATGGGAGTAGAAAAACCACCTTTGGGCCAGGCAGAGGATCACCGCCAGACAGCCAACCCTCTTAGAGTGGGTTTTCTCTTCTTCCTGACCTGACTCAAATTCCAAGACTGCCCAAGGTAAGGAGGCTTTGAGCACTTTTCTCAGGTCCTTTTTACAAGGATTGAAGGGCGCTGCTAGAAAAGTTACCAGTGTGTCTAGGTGAGAGAGGTAACACTCCCAGGAATCACCCACAGGGTCCCAAGGCGCTTCTGTGAGCCTCACCTGATGTCCACTCCCATAGACACAGAAAAACCAGAAATGCAATTAGCTGTAGTATTGGTTTTGTCGTGTACTCAGCCCTGGGTACTAGAAAAAAAAAAAAAACGATCAGGCCAAATTATTGAAGATCACTTAAAGGGTTAAAAATAACTATGACTATGTGGGGAAAAAAATACAAAACAAAAGATTCGCCTGAGCAGTGGTGGCAGCCCTCAGGGAGACTTATAGAAGAGATCCCAGAGGGGAAGCTGGAGAAATCAGGAAAGGAAGAGAAGACAAGAGAATCTCCTCCTATGTACATGGTTTCAAATAGGGGAGGCATCATAGCACAGGTATTGGGACCCTGGAAGAGGCAAGTGGCTTCTCTATCTAACAGATTTGATCCTGTTTCTGTCGGTTGGTCACTATTGGTCACTACAGCTATGCTAATAAAAGAAGCTGGCAACCTGGCTTTGGGCCAGGACATAGTCCCTACACCACACACTCGATTTAGGCATTCTTGAGGGGGACCCTAGAGAGGTGGGATCCAGTGTTGGAATGATGCATTGTCAAGCACTTCTCCTGGACCAGTTGCACATCTGTTTCTTCTTTCGTTCTTGTTTTTTTTTTTTTTTTTTTTTTTTTTTTTTTTTTTTTTTTTTTTTTTTTTTTTTTNTTTTTTTTTTTTTTTTTTTTTTTTTTTTTTTTTTTTTTTTTTTTTTCCCCGATTAAGTCAATTTATTAAAACAGTTGACTTAGGCATCTGCAATGGTGACTTCAACCTCCATGCCCGGCTCAATACTGATGGACTTAATCTGTTTAACTATCTCGGAGGGGCTGTGCAAGTCAATGAGGCGCTTGTGGATTCTCATTTGGAAACGATCCCAAGTCTTGGAGCCTTCACCACAAGGTGTTTTTCTCCTAGTGATCCTCAGGATCTTGGTGGGCATGCGCACGGGCCCCTTCACTTACAGGTTCTTCTCCTTGGCGCCTCTGATCAGGTCAGCACACACCTTCTCTGGCGACTTCACATTGCAGCTGGTGAGCGTGATCCGGATGCGGTGGATCGCCACCTCGGGCTCCACGGGCGTCTTTCCCGTGTCTTTGAAAGCCATGGCTGCGGTGCGGGCTTCCTGACCGACTTGTTCCTCGGCGGGGAGCGAACAGGACCAGGGCAGGCCGAGTGCACACCACCACGCCTCAGAAAGGCTCTTCTTTCGTTCTTAAAGGCCTGCACCACCGCCTCCAGGCTGCCCCATGCCTTTTTCTGTAAAACTTCAGCCATCAACCCAGCCAGCCTGTTGGCAGACAGTAATGCAGCAGAGCCTCTTCTTGATTGCCTGCAGATGACTGCAGTCCAGCTCATGAGACCAGACCTCACAGATGCCTGCGCACAACCTCATCTCACTCTGTGTGCTCCCCTCATGGACTTCTGCATGCCTTCCCCTGTCCCGTATTTCCAGATCTTTGCATGAGATCGGATCCCAACCTCTTGTTGTATTCTATGGATGTGCCTGGTACCTGTCACCACGGTGAACAGTGCCCTGTGTCATAATTGTCTTACAAATACCAGACTCCTCCTGCCTCGAAGTCTTTTGCGTGTCAGTGTGGACCCTGCTCAATGCTGCATCAGGCATCACAAGGGCGATGACTTCTGACCTTGGGTGAGGGTGTGGTCAGGGTTCCAGAACGTAAGGCAGGAATTTAAGCCTCCTCTTCATGTTTTTTCCCAGAATGATACTTTTATTGCATTAAAATTTTTTTCTTTTTTAAATTTATTTATTTATTAAAGATTTCTGCCTCCTCCCCGCCACTGCCTCCCATCTCCCTCCCCCTCCCCCAGGTCAAGTCCCCCTCTTCATTTTTATAGACATTTGGTGACCATTTTTGATTCTATCTCTTTCCTGAGGCACCAGTGCATTGGCTCAGCCCAGTGCGTCCCTGTTAGTTCTCTGTCAGTCTTGCAGCAGTACAGTGGGTTAGGTCTGTTCTGCTCACCAGCCTGCATATCCAGAACCTTGATTATAAAGGATCAAAGGCTCTGGGGTCAATGGTCTTGGCTAACTCTCACCTTTGCCCCAGGACAGGAACCTCTGTTAGGCCAACCTTTAATGAGGAAAAAGTGAGGTTCATGACGTCCCCAAGAACTCTCATACCACACAACCTATCTTCACTAAGACGGGAACCATGTAAAGCCTTCTACCTACTGACTGTGTACCAGCCAGTCTGTCACCTCCCTTTTATCTCTTGCCTGAGTCTGGCTTAGAAAACCTAAAGACTTGAAACTCCCAGTCCACAAAGAACCACCACGAGCAAAGATAGGGATGCCAGGATAAGGCCTTTATTTTTGATCTTTTTTTTTTTTTTTTGACAACATTGAGGGATTTAGAGGGTCATCTCGGGATAGATACACTGTCTCCTGATGAGTCCTTATAGGCTTTGGGATCAACTGGTAGAGGTGTCATCTCCTAAGTTCAAAACAAGTATCCAATAGCTGCCCCAACACCTCCCAGGATTGCGTTCGTTGTTGTCGAAAGTCCAAGGACCCCTGGGAAGGAGACAGTGCAGTGACCGTCAGTGGCCTGAGGCTTAGAAATGCCCCACTGTCTTTTTGTATGAACCTTTGGGGCTCTGCTTTAGACAGAGAGACTCAAACTAGACCAGAAGGAGAAGACAGATTCGGGTAAGCCGAGATACAGGAGAAAGACCTCTCCAGAGAGGAATGTCCTTTCTACATTACAGTACAGAGGGGGACACACTGGAGAAGGACACTCAGTTAGGGAAGATTCAGAGCCCAGGGAGCATGAATCCTGGACCAGGGCTCTTTACTGCTCTGCCATCCAGCATCCCTTACTCTGCACCCCACCCCAGCCTCACTCATAATGAACCAGAAACCAGGGACAGACCTAGAAGACACAGGTGGCAAAAGGTGAGAAAGGAGAGAGAGGAAGGGAGATGTTGTCCTTGGCTGGCTCTCCAGTCATCTTGCCTGGAGGGACACTTACCCACTGACTGCAGTGTGGCCACCATGCTTCCGGCTGCAACTCCACCCCCATTGGCGATTGCAGCTGCTGACATCATCTTGGCTGCTATGGATGCTGCTGCTATTCCTGTCCCCGTGAAGCCCATGGCAGTCAGGGCTACAGGAACAGCTGCTACAGCCACAGCTGTGGGAAGAGGAGCTGGGTGGTACGGGCTCAGGGGAAAGACTCACTCAAGAAGTCCTAGACAGTTTCAGGGGTCTTTCTATTCTGAACAGCAGGGAAAGAAGGATGGGGCAGGGAGCCAGGTGGAGGCCGAGAGGTCAGTGGATCTGACAGAGCCAGGGTCTTACCAAGTTATGTGACCCTGGAGAAGTTATCATCCTTCAGGGTTGTAGTAGGTAAAATTAACTACTGCAGTTTTAAATAGTTGTCCCTTCCCTCCCCAGTGAATTCCCCACTTGTTGCTCATCATATACGAGGCCTGAAGGAGAAGTTAGGCAGGAAACCTTAAGCTGGGCAGGAAAGCTAAATCTTGTCCCAGGCGTAAACACAGCTCTGGCCCTGGCTCTTCACCCAGGCAGCTCCATAATCCCGCAGAAGTTAGGAGCTGGAGTGGAACCTGCCGCAAAACACAAAGCCCCCACCACCTCAGAGCAGCCACAAGAAACATACCTCCTCCTACTGCAGCAGTGACAGCTTCTGCAAGAGAGAGATGGGGTGGATAGGAAAGGTTAGAGTTGGCTGATGTCAGTGAGTTCTTGGCAGGTTTGGGTGAGGGAGCCCAGTTCCCAGCCCACGCCAGCACTGAGGGCTACTAACTCCGCATGTTGAGATGTCTTGTTAGCTGGTAAGCTTAGGAAGTGACTTAAATCTGAGGAGAGAAGGACTCCTGAACCAATAGAGACATGGCCCGCCCCTTGCAATGAGTCAGCTCCCAGGTGTAGGTTTGTAAAGCCATAAGGAAGTAGGCACCTGCTCCACCCCTCTGCTTACCTCTGAGTAGATGGCTTCCTTTAGATTTGTTTCTATCCTGACTGATGTTTAACATACACACACACACACACACACACACACACACACACAGAGCTGTTTGCCGCTAAATCAAAACTGAAACTAACAACACTCACTCACAAACTTAGCGAGAAAAATGTGGGCACAAAGTTCATGTCTCTCACCTGCAAGAGGATGAGAGTTTATTGTGGAGTTACGCTTGAGTATCCAGATAAGGTTACCCAAAATGTCATCTTCGCACACAGCAACGGTTTGACAAGGTTTTTGCAGTAACAGAACAAAGAAAAACATAGATCAAAACATTTCAAAATCCATGTAGTAGTGAAGCTATGAAATGGGAGGGTCAGAGACAATGGGGGAGCCTCCGCCGTAGGCCTCAGGTGCTAACTGATGGGGCTCCTCCCTTTGTGGTTGGTAGGAGCCAGGCGTTTGTGTATTACAAAGGATTTGCTTAACGGTCCCAAAGATGTCAGGTTAGGTACAGATGGGAACAGTGAATGGCTGGTAGAAGTACTAAAGATGTCCCAAGAGAATTTGACTCTGGACTTGCAACATTTGAAATTCTTTGCAGCCATTAATCTTCATCAGGGGCTGCAGAGATGGTTCAGCAATTAAGAGCATTGGTTGTTCTTCCAGAGGACCCAGGTTCAGTTCCCAGCACCCACCACAAAGCAGCTCACAACTGTCTGTAACTCTGTTGCCAGAGGCTCTGACACCCTCACAGACATGTGTGCAGGCAAAAGACCAGTGCACTTAAAAAATAAAAATAAATAAATAATTTAAAAAAGAGTTAATCACCTTTGCCAAGAGCTCAGACAAAATTCCAGCTTCTTTTCTAGAACTTTGATCCACAAAAATGTATCTAATTTCATCGGTGTCCTGCAGAGGGAACTCTTTGCATGTCTCTGTGGAATTTCCTTCCATCTGTCCCTCCTAAGATGTACCAACCCATTCTGACTACACTGTGCCTGCTGCTTTACAAACAGCTCGTTCTATTGAACTAGCTCTTTAGATCTATGCGGGCTATTCTCTGGGCATCAAGTTATTCACGATATAATTCAGACAAGATATCACAATTTTAGTACAAGCTTCTGTAACTTTGGATGAAATTTAGTTACTTAGGCAAATACCGACTCAGATCTAGAAACCTCCATCACTTCTCTTACCCCCTAAATTGTCTCATATTTCCTTTTAAACATCCCCTCCCCACCAACCACTGATACCCACTCGGTCTCCACACACTTGCCCTTCCAGAATGCCCATGTGAACACCTGAAATTCTGCTAGCTCGCTGTCCCAGCCTCTCCTTTAAGGGTGTTAATTCTAATCCTGGCTTTTGCACATTACTAAAATGAAATGCTGACATTGCGGTGCACCGGTATTTCCTGGTCATACATTCCTATAGGAAAATATGCATCTCAGCACCCTTGTTCTCCAGAAACAGGGCAGATTTCTGGCTTAGTCGGGGTTCCTATTGCCGTGATGAAACACATGACCAAAAGCAACTTGGAGAGGAAAGGGTTTACCTGCTTTATGCTTCCCCATCATTGTTTATCATCAAAGGAAGTCAGGACAGGAACTCAAACAGGGCAGGAACTTTAAGGCAGGAGCTGATGCAGAGGCCACGGAGGGATGCTGCTTACTGGCTTGCTTTTTCAATGTAGACCTGCAGTAGAATGATCACTCACAACCATGCAACAGAACCAATATTAGGCTGTCTTGAAATCTCTGCCAATGAGATTTGCTCAAGACTCTTTGGTTTGGGCCTCAGGGATACTCTTAGGACAAGAGGGGAATGCAGTTACATTCTGCCAAAATAGCACATAAATCTAGCCTAGTTCTTCATATTTCCCCCATGAGACCTCTTGAGCTCTTTCTCTCCATAATCCACATTGCTCTCAGCACTGCTGTCTTCCAAGCACCTCCTCAAATAGCCCATTGGTCCCATTTAAATCATTAAAGACTTTCCTAGTACAAAGTACCAAAGTTTTCCACATTCTCTCTAAGACAGCATGGTCAGGCCTGTCATAGCAATGACCTGCTTTCTGGCACCAGCTTCTTTATTAGTTACTTTTCTATTGCTGTGAAGAAACACCATTGCCGAGACAATTTATAGAAGAGAGTTTATTGAGATTATAGTTTCAGAGATGAGACCATGACTATCATGACTGGGAGCATAACAACAGGCAGTCAGACAAGTATGTGGGCAGGCATGCAGGCAGTTATACATGTAAGCATTCAGGAAGGTATGCAGGATATAAACGTGTTTTTTTTTCCCAGTAAAGTTTATAATACCCATGCAAAATGGCCAAGATTTTACTTTTGTTTCTAAATTGTTTTTTAAAAAAAGCCCTGTTGGATACCAGCTTACCAGGGTAAGGGCATGGGGATTAGAAGAATAAGTAAAGAGAACGAAGATGCAAGTGAAAATAACAAACAGAAGCAATAGTACCAGGAGGGCCACTCAGTGGATCCTGAATGCTGAATTCTGAGATCTGAGTACTGAGACCCTGAGTCTGCCCATGTTTAATTTTTTTATACACGTTTATATCCCAATACTAAAGGGGAAAAGAAGGTAAACGACTGTGTTAATGTGTTGCAAAGGACAATCAGAACAGTTACTTTAATACTTTGAGACATCAAGCCATTAATTCAGGAGAAAATCATTCTGCTGTTTAGGCAGGGAACCCACCCTAGACCAAGCATCCTAAAGGCAGCCACTACCTAGGTCAAACCTCCTAATTCAAAATAAGGAGCAGAAGTATGCTTGAATTTCTGACCTATGGTCAGGGTGGAGTGGATCTATCTTCACGGGTCAACTTAATGTCCAAAACACCAAGTAACCACACCCTAGGTCAGAGTGTGTAGCTATAGTTGTTGTCAACAACTTTGAGTAACCTAAAACTCCCTGAGTTTCAGACAAGGTGGGATAGGCACACATTTTGGGCCTCCATACTGGCCCTGCAGCAACCTAAAACTCTGTGACCTTCGGATAAAAGGTGGAACAGGCACACATTTTTGGGCCTCTACACGGCCTCTGCTATCTATAAGATACAGCATCACTTGTATTTCCTTTAAAGTCTTTCAAGAGGCACTCTTAAACGTTAACTGAGTCACCTGACATTTCGTTTGGTACATATAGAATGTTTTACATAGATATTTATGTCTTAGAATATTGTTGCAACATTACTTATTACATCTTTATTTTATCGTTGATTTTATATTCCATTTTTCTGCTCAAAACTCATGTACTGGTCTCTGTGTGTGTGTGTGTGTGTGTGTGTGTATACCAAGATACTAGTTCTGAAATTTCCTGTGATATTCCAAAGATTCGTCTCTTGTGGCAACTATATCACACTGCTTTGATGCTTATAAATTTGTTATTGACTTAAAGTTTAATTGATAAGCAATATAATTATTAATTCAAAGTCACATAAAACACATTTTTTGTTTTTTGATTTTTTTCTTTCTTTTTTTTAAAAGATTTATTTATTATGTATTCAACATTCTGCCTCCATGTATGCCTGCAGGCCAGAAGAGGGCGCCAGATCTCATTACAGATGATTGTGAGCCACCATGTGGTTGCTGGGAATTGAACTCAGGTCCTCTGGAAGAGCAGTCAATGCTCTTAACCACTAAGCTATCTCTCCAGCCCTTGATTTTTTTTTCAAGACAGAGTTTCTCCATAGCTTTGGAACCTATCTTGGAGTAGGTCTTGTAGACCAGGCTGGCCTCAAACTCACAGAAATCCACCTGCCTCTGCCTCCCAAGTGCTGGGATTAAACATGCCTCACCACAGTCCAGCAAGAACACACTTAAAAAAAAATAAAGTTAAAAGATACTTTGTAAGGGGCTGGAGTTAAGAACTCTGGCTGCTTTTCCAGAAGACCTGGGTTCAGTTCCCAGCACCCACGTGGCAACTCACAATCTGTCAAGTTCAGCTGGGTGGGAAGTTCAGGCTACTGAGTTACTTACAGGAGTATGGGCAACTCAAAAGGACCACTCCCAGGCAATGCTCTGCCTCATGATCCCTTAGTACTGCTAGGATTACACACAGCTGAGGCAGGGTGGGTGGAGCTGGCTGCTGGAGTCACAGCCTCGTTACCATAGACACAAGTATCACCAGTGTCGGTCTGTTTATCTCCTTGATTAAACCATAAACCAGTGGTTCTGTAGGGCCACCCTGTTTCAGCAGAGCCAAGGTCATGTCAAGCTTGGAGGAAAATCCTATAGCACATTCTCAAACTATCATCCAAAAGGGAAATGGCAAAACACTGAAACAGCCCACGTTATAAAATGCACATGATAACATGCGGGGCTGAAGAGATGGTTCAGTGGTTAAGAGCACTGGTTGCTCTCTCCACAGGACCCAGGTTCAGTTCCAAGAACCCACACCCCAGCTCACAGTTGTCTGTAACTCCAGTTCCAGGGGAGCTGACACCTTCACACTAATAAACATAAAATAAAGTTAAATAAATTATAAAATAGTAATAATATGCACACCCTCAAAAAAACCCATTTTGATAACATAATGAATCTGTTACTTGTATCCGTACTAGTTTCAGATAAACTATTGATCAGGAGATTGTGATCACTTTTCAAACATTGTTTTGAAACAAGACCTTAACACACACACACACACACACACACACACACACACATGTGCAAGAGAAACCACAGTGCAGTCTTGCCCTTGCTTGCTATACAACATTTTTCCAGGAAAATCCCTGGTTGTGAATCACACTCTGGGTACCACCTGTAAAACATGGCTCCTAGGTTTGGATATATGTGTGTTTTACTGCTTGGAAATAGCTTTAAATGTTCTATAAGTCACATCTGGACTGGGTAGTACATGTGCATGGGTCCTTAGCACGGAACTAAAAGAATGTGTAAACGTAATGGTTGAAGAAGTTAGAAGTGTGAAAATTATAAC